GTGTGTGTGTGTGTGTGTGTTGGGATGTTTTCAGACTTTGTGTTAGAATGAGGGGACAGCCCAGCAGCTCCCACGGTTTTAAAGAGATTTGTTTTTCTCTCTCATTATCATAAAGCCTTGCTCAGGTAAAGGAAGCTCAAAGTCGGCACAGGTCTTAGAAAAACAAAAAGAAGCTCTCTGGTATACGATTCAGATTTTAACAAGAGCACATTTTAAGGTTCACAGAATTTCTCCACCTACATTCATACGAGGTTTGGTGCAAATAATCAGATGAAAGTATTCGTTCAGGACTTCTTTTTGTGTAACTGCACTTAAAGCACTCCATAGAGCAGAGATTCCCGAAGTAGGACGTGGGCCACTATGACGGGGAAGGGGGCGGGGCACACTGTTCCACTGTGCTAGCAAAGTATGGAAAATATGGTGAGAGGACTTCCAGGTAAACGTGAAGCAGACGTCACAACTATTAAAACAAAGACAAGAAAATATTATGAGTCATAGCTCACCTTCGGCTTCACGTGTACAGGTAAAGGTCACAAAGAGGAGGCCGATGATGATGATGTATAATGATATGTATGCTGTTTGTGTCCTTGGCACAGGGTTTAGATTAACTATTTGTAATACATGTACCTCCTCTCTGGTTGTGAGTGTGTGTGTGTGTGTGTGTGTGTGTGTGTGTGTGTGTGTGTTCTGGGGTGGGGGGGGTTTATGTCTATTGTTTGGGTTGTGGGTTTTCACTCGTGTTTGTATTGTGATGTCATAAAAATAATAATTAAAAATAAAAAAAAGATTATTAGCAACTACTAAATGATGATGTATCACCACCATCCAGTCATTGAACACAAACAAATGGAGTCATTTTGAATACTTTTACTTTTGTTCCTTTCATCAAGTAAGACTTTTATTTCATGGTGTTGAATAATTTCACACTGGTACTTCAGTAGTCTTCGGCTGGCAGCTGTTCTGCTGCCCCCTAGTGGCCAAATGACGTCATTACAGCGTTTTAATTCATTTAAATTCATATGTATTATTCAGCCTTGGGTGTAAAGAATTTATCTAAAACACGGTGAAAAATGTGAAGCAATGACCACATTTTATTTAAAAACTCAGTTCTCACCACTAAACGTACAAAAAGAAGTTTTTCTTTGTTGCCAGTTTCTTTCCTCTCTTCTTTAAATAGTATGAGCGTTTTTTTATGAAACTAACTTGATTGCCAGGAGGCTAATGTTAGCCAGGGAGCTAGTGCTAACCCTACTAATCCAGATAAAGAGACATCTGGGGAGGGCTCAGGTATCTTCATGGGCGGGTCTGTCTAGCGGTTCGGTCCAGCCTCATGTTTGGAGGCTTTAGTCCTCCAAGCAGCCAGCTCAGATTCAAGTCCAACCTGCGGCTCCTTATCCTGCATGTCATTCCCCACTCTCATGATTTCCTTAAATATCTAGTCCTGTCTAAATAAATGAAAAAAGCTCAAAAAATATCTCTTTAAAAAAATAAGAAGATAAAAGAGTCAAGTCATGATGAGAAATGTTCTGACGCGTTTTACAGCTCGGTCACTTTTTCGTCGAGTGGCTCTTCATGTGAAGCCTCACGTACGTCTTGCGGTGGAAACCCTTCCCGCAGATCTCGCAGCGGTGCGGTTTCTCCCCGGTGTGCGTGCTGCTGTGGTGCTTCAGGGTGGAGTGGTCGCTGAAGCAGCGGCCGCAGACGTTGCAGAGGAACGGCTTCTCCCCCGTGTGCGTCCGGGTGTGGCGCATCATGTTGTGCCGGCAGTTGAAGGACTTGCCGCACTCGCTGCAGAGGAACGGCTTCTCGCCCGTGTGGATCCTCATGTGCGTCTCCAGGCTCGTCTGACACTCGAAGCACTTCCCGCACACCTCGCACACCTTCCCGTTTTTGTGCGTCTTCAGGTGGTTCTTGAGGTCGTCGTCGGAGTCGAACTTTTCCCCGCAGACGACGCAGCGGTCCGTGGAGTGACCTTTGGCGTGATTCACCAGAGACACCAGGGAGTGGAACATTTTCCCGCACAGTGTGCACACGCTTGGAGTCGGCGGCTTCTTCGTCGACGCTAATTTCTTCTCGCCGTCGCCGCCGTTTTCATTCTCGTTCGCGGACGTCAGGCCCCCCTCCTTCCTGTGAGCGTGAGCCAGCAGGTGGCGCTTCATGGTGGAGTAGTCGTTGAAGGATTTGCCGCAGATGTTGCAAGGGTACGGCCTTTCCCCCGTGTGTATCCGCATGTGTCGCTTCATGTTGTGCTGACAGTTGAAGGACTTCCCGCACTCGTTGCAGTCGAACGGTTTCTCCCCCGTGTGGATCCTCATGTGCGTCTCCAGAGAGCTGGAGGCGCCGAAGCATTTGCCGCACACCTTGCAGACCTCGGCCTTCACGTGCGTCTTCAGGTGGTCTTGAAACTTCTCCTCGGTCTCAAAACTTTGCCCGCACACGCCGCAGACGTCCTTCGGGTGCACCTCCATGTGGTTCACCAGCGGGAAGACGGAGTGGAAGGCTTTCCCGCAGACTTTACAACAATTTCTCTTTTTGTATTTTTTAGTCGAGTGCAGTTTTGGGGGCATCGGTAGACGAGGCGCCTTTCTATTATCGAGGGTGTTTTCACTCTCGCTGTCATCGCTCTGAGATATCGCACTGCCCCTCCACTCTTCGTCGCTGTTGTCGGTGACAGAAGAGTTGGAGGAAGCCGCCCCATCCTCTTCCTCGTCTTCGTCCTGTTCGGCTGACGTTCCCGGCAGAGGATCTCCGTCCCCTTCAGCGCCCTGATAATCCTCATGAAGCGGGTCAGGCTCGTTCTTAACGTATGGAGAGGTGAAGATGAACTTGATGGTGGGGTTCCCCTGCAGGTCCTCGAGACGCTCCACCTCCAGGCCGCTCGGAGGGTCTTCCAGCCGATTTCCAGCATGCGGCCGCTCCTCTGGGTCGTGGTCATGGTCCATAGTGGGGCTAGACTCATCGTCCCAGACGGAGAGAGCGAGCTGTGATTGATCTAAAAAACAAAAAAAAAGGTACAAAACCGTCAGAAAGTCAGGCAGTGAATTTGATATTTTACGGACAGAAATATAACCAAAATCAAAATACAGTCTGTAGGATTGTTCATCCAATTGACATCTTTGTATTCTTACCACTATAAGATAAGATAATCCTTTATTTATACCACAACGGGGAAATTTACATTGTTACAGCAGCAAAGATTGCAAACAAAAAGTGAACGCAGTAAAATTTAAATTAAAAAAAAGAAAAGTATATATTAATCAATTTTGTGTACATTTTTATTTCATTCAAACAAACAATAAAGTTAAGAAAAACAAACAAACATAAAATCTCAAATGTTGAATGAAAAGGTGCAGAAATAAGACTAATCTTATAATATCTGCCCCTCTTTCACAAAACATTACTTAAAACAAAACAATTAATTCAAAAACAATTCAAATTAAATTAAATTGGCTGCAAGCAAATACAGCCAATAATATTATTAATTATAATAATTATATAATATATATGTATATTAATAATTATTAACTATTATTAATTAATAATTAATTAATTAATATATATTATATATTAAATATAAGGAAGGCGTTCCCAAACCCCGGAAGGAGCTGGATTAAAAACAGGAAGTTCACCTGAGGCTGATAGAACACCTTCTTCAGCTTCATGGATAAAGTTTTTGCTGGACTGAGCTCGACAAGCTTCCGTGCAAAGTTAGAGTCGTGCATGTGAAGGTGTCAGAGTGACTGACAGCTGTGCACCAACCTGAGTGTTTCTCTGACTTCTCTGCAGCTTTGGACACCGTGTGCAGCATCGCGCTCTGCCGCCGGATCTCCTCCTCGTAGCCCGTGATGGTCTTCTTCACCGCCTCGAAGATCTCCTCCGCGGCCGCAGAGAGCCGCTCGTTGACGAGGACTCTGAGCAGCTGGATGCTCGACATGATGCGGACACACACTCCACACACACACACACACACACACACACACACTCCCCGCTGAGCCACCGGGCCGGAGGGTGGCTGATAGTCACAGTTTGTATTCTGTTTTTTTGTTATTGTTGAGGAAACGGCAGCTCCGCGTGTAACGTTGAACACAGTACAGGCGGCGCTGTGACGTAGATCCGGTCACATGCTGCTGATTTCAAAATAAAAGTAGCTTCGAAAAAAATGAAAAGTGACTTTATCTGTATTTTACGGAGCCCCCCTGTACATTAGGAAGATCCCAAGGGCCCATGACTATCAGGGGCCCTAAAAAATATTAGAACATGAATTATTTTTAGTCATACTAATTAATAAACGTAGGCTACCACTATGAGAGAATATTTCACAATGTGTTTATAAAAATAACTGCTCCATTATATTTATATTATTATTATTGTTATTATTATTGATCATGATGATGATGGATTTGTTTGACAACAAATATTTTTCTACACTGACTAGCCCTCTGAAAAACGATGTTGTGCTTTGCCTCTGGTCACTTCCTGTCAGCACCTGTGTGTCCAATCAGACTCAAAGCTGATCGTTTGCTCTTACTGACGTTGTTCCCTTTTTCTAGATCCTTGCTTGTGTTGTTCTTACTCTCTGATGTACGTCGCTTTGGATAAAAGAGTCTGATAAGTGAATTGTAGAGTTGAAGAATTATTTTGGGGTTTTAGCGAAAAAAAAAAAATCAAACATCCAGGGTCAAGAGTGATGGAGGTGTGGTTATAGAAATTTTCCAGGGTTAGTTTGGGGTTGTGGTAGGAGCCCAATGTGGTATCTTTTCATGTTGGGGCCCAGAGGTCCTGGTGGCACTGAAGTCCCAAAAAGTAAATGTTACCAGTGCTCACAAGATATTACAGTGACTTTGATTTAAGCCATTAAAATAAAGGTCTTGCAGCATTTCTGTCAAAAGTTTCTCCAGTCTGTTTCTGTCTAGAGATGTGACGTGGTGTTTCCAGCAGGTGGCAGTCTTCCCTAAAAAACAACAACAACTGTAGCTCAACAAAAACTCACAAAAATATTCATTTTGACTTCGACATTCAATAGCTTTATTGTGAAAAAGTCGTTCTCTTCATACACTTGCCTTAAAACTGTACAATCAATAATTTAAAAAAAGAAAGAAAAAATGGTCAGCTTGGTGTTTAAAGAAACATTCTCACACACTCTCACACACTCGCTTCGGATTATTCATCAGCTTCAGCCACAAACCAGAGTAGTGTATTACATGTTTTTTTTGTTTTTTTCCCTGTCATCACAACAGTCGGTTCTTTATTGAAACACTGAACACATCAGAGGGCATCCCTGAATCTCCCACCGTCCTCCACAAACATTTCAAAATGTGTCACTTAAAATGCAAAAATGTTAGCTGTGTTCAAGGAGAAACACGAGGGAGAAAGACAAAGATGGAGGTAAAACACAAAACAACAAGAGTTAAAAGACTCTGGGAGTCGACAGCAAAAATAAACACAGAGGAGGAAAACCTCTCCCTAAAGTCTTTCTCTGCTTCTTCAAACACTGGTGGTGACAAAACACAACACAAGCTGTCAGCTGATCTAAATCTCTCTCTCCCTTTAACTCCTGGACTGTAGCCATGATGAATAAAACCTTTTTTTTTTTTCAAACCTCATTAAGAGACCAGATCTGGTGTTTGAGAGCAGGTTTTAACTCGTTTTTATACAACTCAAATGAACATTTTGAGCACTAATTCTGACTCTGTTGCGGCTCAAAGTTTCAGTTTACCTAACCAAAAAGTCACTGGATATCAAAATACATCTAGCAGGGAACGAGCTAGGATGCTTTTTATTGCTATTTTGACACAACAAAGTGGATTCTGGCGAGCATCGTTTTCAAATTTAAAAAGTATTCAAATGTTCTGGTTCACACTGGGACGGAGGAACGATCAAGAAACTCAGTGTAATAATAAGAAGCATGGCCAAACTGCAGGCGAGGTACAGAATACTGTAACAGCAGCTGCAGTATGTTATATTTTGCTATTGTGTGAGATGTTATTCAAAAATCCTGTGAAATCAAAGTTGATTATTGAGTATTTTAATGCCACGTCTGTCTTGGCTCGTTGCCCTTTTTCTATCTCAATCTTAATGGTATTCTAGTTCATCAACCACTGGATGTCGTAACTGAATCTGAAGACGCGTCCTACACTTGGGGCTTTGTTGCCTGTTTACAGGATTTGCAACAGTAATCAGCAATCAATATTGTCCCAGTATCACTCAGGCCGTCATGGCCAGTCCTGCAGTAATCTTGACTTTGGAATCAGTGGAAATTTTCCCTGAAGAGAAGAAGCCTCTCCTCGTGAGTCGAGACATGTTCAAGTCTCAAGGCAAAGATATCTGAGACGGGGGGGGGGGGGGGGGCTCAACTGTTCACACTGAGCTGGAGGGACCGGGTTCAGGAGGGGAAATCTATCAAACACCTGAGAGGAGAAACAAAAATCTAATCCAAATATGATGTTCAGGACAAAGCAGCCGGGCTGATTCTTTATGTAATCGAAGAATAAAAGAAGGCAGAGGGCTGAGGAGGACGAGGAAACAAACCACGCTGAGCTTCCTGAGGAGGAGCGGAGGATGAAAGACAGAGGGGGGGAGAGAGAGAGAGAGAGAGAGAGAGAGAGAGAGAGAGAGAGAGAGAGAGGCGCAGCCGGGGCGTACCAATGAAGCCCTCCAGAGATCTATGAAAAGAGCATCTATTATTCAGCAGCTATGAATCATGGGACAGCAAGCAGGCGGAGGCGGTGGTGCAGATCTGAGGAGGAGGGGGGTGGGAGAAGAAAACATGCTGCGTTCGTTCCCGTGGGAGATCTAGTCAGAAAAGGTTTGGTGTTGAAAAGCAGCGACTCGGAAGAGTTCAACTGTTCAAACTTGTTTAGACTCGACTCTCGGATCAGTCCGATCATATTTTCATACGAGAACGAGACTCTGAAGCGGCACAGCGGTGACATGTTTCTGTTTTTAGAAACACCTGGTCCACCTGTTTCTGAGATGTGTCCCACTGGACTTGAACGCAGCATGGAGTGAAAACACAGCTGCTTATTCTTGAACTGTGAACTTCTCCACCACTTCTTTATCTCCAGATGAGAACGGAGTTAGTGCTCCCTGCTTACTGTCATCTGTGTACAGGAGCCCAGAATGGACGAACCAATCATCTGCTAGACATTTCTTTTGGAAAGACGGGTCGTTATCAGCTGATTAAGATCTGCAACCTCGTCATTAGACGGCTGTAAATCCTACACAGTGCTGCCTCGTGCAGATAACCAGTTTGGTCCCTTAGGTTGAAGATGAGGTAACAACAAGGGGACTTAAACACGGCTCTGTTTACTATCAACACTTCAGCACGACAACATGAGCCTTCACATTCCTCCATCCTGTCCGGGTACTCTGACCGGTTTCTGTTTTCACTCATCACAGCGTCTCCATCAGGAGCGACAGATATCTGAGCTTCTTCTCCCTCTGGCTCTAACACACGGAGACAAACGTATGAAAAACACACGAGGTCATACCGGGGGGTGGGAGGGACCCTGAAGAGGTTCTGTGACAGTTTGTGTTTTATCTAAAGGTTTTAAGATTTGGCACGGGATGGCTTAAGTTATATTCCATCCAGATCACTGATCTCTGTCGGCTTCAAATGTGAAACACTTTCTTTATTAAAAAGTGTCTTTATTAAGTGTCTCATATGACCACAGAAACTTCTCTACTGTCCAACAGGGCTGCAAGTTGTCAAAGATATAAATAATCTGTAAAAGGACAGAATCTGTTATTTTAATGATCTATAGTAGTGTTGTAGTCAAGACCACACTAACCGAGACCAGAGTGCTCCGAGACTGAGGCAAGACCAAGATCATAAATATGACTGAAAGAAAAATCCTCATCTTGTGTGCAGCGAGCGTGTCACTCACTTAGGCCGTAACACCGGGAAGGTTGTGGCCGTAACCGAGGGAAACAGATCGAATTATGACTGAAGGGCTGTTTTCCTTCTAGTCACAGAAATGACCTTGGAAAGTAGCCCCATGAGACGAGTCTGCTCGGGTCAAGTGTGATCAAAACACTCCCAAGTGAAGGGGCCAAATCTCTGAACACATTTTGGGGACTTTTGGGATTGCGGAGATTATCCTCAGCTCGCAGTGAGAAACTCAAAACAAAGCTTCGAGTGGAGTATCACTTTGAAGGAGCAGGTAGAAGGGATTATGCCGAGTGTTTTTGTGACATAAAATGTGTGTGCATGTTGCTGCTGCAGGTAACAGGTGAGAAATGACAGACAGGGGTGGGTGGGGTGGGGTGGGGGAAGAGGAGGGGTGAAATCTGAGAACATGGAGAATATTAGACTGAATGTTTGTGAGGGAAAGAGGAGGGAGTGACAGAAAAATAAATCTCTTTATATAAACCCCAAAAGCACACCCTGGGTGACACTTTCCTCCTCCATCTCCTCTGCAGACTACAACTCCCAGAATCCCTTGAGCGAAAAAAAAAAAAAAAAAAGTAACATCAAAATGTAAAACAAAAGTCGTGAGCGACCTCAGCTCACCTGTACAAAAAAGCAGCATCAGAATAAAAATACAAAGTGAGTAGAGATTAAATACTGTGGGCATCATGTTTTTTATAGGCTCCCCTAGTATCCATGGCAACAAGCATCACTGGTTCTCTCATTAAAGTATGTTGTTGTATGAATAATAATAATCTAAACTTTGTTTTAGTGGCCGTTTCAGGTGAACCTGCACATACTTTATGTTCCTTGACACCACAGAGAATTCATAATCCACTCAAGGCCCACTAACAAGTCTGGAGACAGGATCTGATTCAAGTCACGACTGGGCGATAAAACAATCTCCATGTAGGGCCAAAGTTCATGTGGGGTAACGGATAAACGTCAGACTACATTATTGGACTGAATCAAGAATTTTTGCATGTTTTAGCTGTAAAGAGAAACATGCTGAGCTCTGCTGAAAAAAAATCTCATGAGTAACATTAAGTGCTGCACTTATTAAAAGTGTTTAAATCAGTTTTTATACTCAGGCTAATTTCTTTTCATGGAGGAGATCTCTGCCGATAATTCGGCTCCTTGTCAAAAAAAACAAAAACCTAAACCTAAAAGCAAGCTGAGCGTTTGAACGATAATGAAACTGCTTCATTACTAACAGGAGTAAAAAGAAAGGTGACAGTCAACTTTGGTGCATGTTAGAAATAGAACTTGTAGAGTTTCACGATGTGATGAAGTATCAAGAAACTCGTCAAACTTGCAGCATCCTTCATAATCAGAGATTTACTATCAAATAACCGTTTTTTTCACCGTTTCTCCTAGTTCAGGTTACGCCTGAGGGGCGTCAGGGGGCGGAGTCAACTTCACCTCAAACTGGATGGAAACTTTCAGCCGTCTGGTACCCAAGATTCCCCTCCCTAAAGTGTTGTTTGTGAATCAAACAAAGACCTTTTCAAACGAGTGTTCAAACACAACCAGTTGGGGAATAAATAATGATAAGTAACGGACAGACTGCGTATTAGTGTCTCGTTCTTTAGCTTATCGGTCATTAAACATCCAATGTAGAGAGAGAAAGAAGGTGCGGATATACCCGGACAGAAAGAAACACAACACAAAAAATGAAAGGAAAGAAGTGATCTTGAGGTGATTGCACCGACACAAAGGGTGCTTCATGTTGAGGAACTGAACGTGGAGCCTTGTGAGGGATTTCTGTACACGTAGTTAGCGGACAAGGAGAGAATCCAGAGTCTCTGAATCAGGTCCGTGGAGACAAAAAATGTTTGTGGTCGTTCTGGTATTGTGAGGCGACGCTCGGGGCCCCGTCTCCACCTGGATAATATTTCTTTTAACACAAAAAGGTGAGAGGTAGTGCTCATCCATCCCTTTATCCATCATCCTGCTCTTCAGCTCTTCAGGGTTCAGGGACGCGCTGCTCCTTTTCTTTTTTAAATACCAACCTGTATATCCCGTGTGCTGATCACATGCTGTCAATCAAGTCATAGTCTCTAACCCGCTCCCCCCCTCTCAGTCTCTCCATTAGGAGATTTTACAGTTGTTGCGGGTGCAGTTCTGCGGCGGGCTCTGCGGCGGACGGATCGACTTGGAGCGCTTGAGGCTGTTGCCCTTGGAGCCGCCGGCCGGGTTCGCCAGCGAGTAGGAGCGTCCGTGCATCATGACCGCGTTCATCCCGTTGGCCATGGAGAAGGACTTGAGGTGGGACTTGATGGCGACGGGCAGCGGGAGCTTGTCGATGAGGTGGACCGGCGTGCACGACACGATGGCTCTGCAGCACAGGTCCTGCAGGCTGAACACTGCGGAGAGAGGATTAACAGTTAAGACCGTCGTGCATGTTTGAGACTGAATCTGAAAACCTGCGAGCTTTTTCTGAGTCTGTCCACCGTTAATTCTCGGAGGTTTAGAAGGACATCGCTTCAACCTGATGTCCTCGTTAATTACAGACAAAAAGGATGAGAGGCATGAGGGAGAGTTAATTAGCGCACAAGGTTATGTGTCATCCCATCAGACTGCTGTGGCACATTAGCACAGAATGACGTCTTCCTGAAGACTCAGTAAAGTGCTCTCAATCCCACTGAGATTACATTGTTGTCTAAAAAGACAGACATAACTCTTATAAACAACTCCAGACTCAGAACTGCTGCTGCTGCAAACGACACATTCTGAAACAGAGGTCAGGGCATTTACTTGATTTAGTTCCTCCTTTTCAAGGTTTACTTTAAATTTACCTGGAGATAAATTCAGATTCATTTTTTGAAACAGAAACACAGCTTTCAGTCACTCCATTATTCTTGCTTTTATTCCACTTTTTCATTGTTGTTAAATCAGGGATAATGCAGGAAGGAGTCTTAAAACATTTTGGTTTTAAGACGAGAGAGAGAGGGAGAGAAGAGAAGAGAGAGAAGAGAGAGAGAAGAGAAGAGAGAGAAGAGAAGAGAGAGGGGGAGAAGAAAAGAGAGAGAGAAGAGAGAGGGAGAGAGAAGAGAAGAGATTCAGGCAGGATTCGAACCCAGGCCACCCGCTCAGAGGACTACAGCCTACATGGGGCACCCAAACTAACCACTCGACCACCGGTGCCCCCTCTGAAGAGTTTTTGTTTAGATCCTCTAAATAAGGTCAGAGATTTCTCCATCATGTAAGATGTTCATGTTCTGATTTATTAAGTTTGTACTTCGAGCAGCTGGTGCAACCCTGTGCTGCTGTCAACATGTTACAGAAGCTTTTGTTCCAAGCTTGGAAATCTTTTTTTTTTTTTTATAATTTTGGTCACAGAGTTTCCATTGTTTCCCGTCCACTCACCTCTGTTGGGCTTCCAGAACTTCTCCATGCCGTGCCTCATCAGGACGATCCGCGACAGCTCCGTGAAGGACTCGATGACGTTGAAGTTGCAGAGAGGGCTCACCTCGAAGAAGGTCATGCCGTTCTTCTCGGCGTACGCCCTCGCCTGCTCGGTGGGAACTTGCCTCTTGAAGGCCAGGTGCAGGCGGTTGCCGACAAGGATTCGAGGCACGCCTGGAGCATGCTGGGAGGGAAAAAAAACAATCAAACAAAGGACAGAGCTCGTAGATGTTAGGCGATGAAAGAAACTTCCTGAAGGGTAACGTTGTTTCTCCTTGTAACATTAAAAACGAACCCAACAAAAAAAACAAGACCTGAACTCTTAAGTGTCATGAAATACGGCATGACATCACAATAAGGACATTATATCTCAGTAGATGAAATACTTGTATTACTTGTAACAAGCAATTCAGGATTTATTTGTTGCTTTTGATATCTTAAAATCAGATGTGTTTTGACCAGAAATTAGACAAATACACTGCAAGTTTTTTGCAGTGTATTTGAAGAAAATGATAGCTGTGCGGCCTCTCCAGATGATTCAAAGTGTGTGACAGAGAAAGACAGTGAATGAAAGATGCAACATTCATACAGAGCGAGCAGCGGAGGCTTGTTATTAATTCAACAAGCTCAAAGAGGCAGCGTGTATCTCATTCCTGCCACTCAGGCTCATGTCTCTCTAATTCATCCCCGTCTGTTCTGACTAACTGGATGAAACATGATGGCAGCAAAAGGTCGACCTCCTCTCTCCTCCTTCTCTCCCCCTGACTGTCACCTTTCATCAGCCTCTCCTCAAGACAGTCCTCCCTGCTGCCTTTTCATGCTCCGAGTCTCTGCACAGAGGTCGGTCCTGTTCCAGCTGCTGCAGCAGAGGAAACTGTTTCAGCTTCAGCAGCATGATGATGCTGAAGGCTGAAAAGCAGCGGCATCTTTGCACTGACTTTGTATGAACTTGTGCTGTTTGAATAAATTCCTTCACCCAGTCTAAACACCACTTTGCTAATGTTCTGACTACTCAAAGCGCTTTGTAAATGTCTCCCTGAGTCATGACTGTCTACAATGAGTGAGAAGATTATTCATTTCAGAGTCTGTGCCCTGAGGACTGCCTGTCGACACCCATTCAACCTTCTTCATACAGACACTTTTACTCTTCTCCCTCTTTCTACCTAAGTTCAGTTTTAAAAGCCGCCGACCACATCGCGTCCATGGAGGTGGAGCAGGAAAGAGCAAACTGAAACATGCATTCCACAGGCTGAAAATATCACTGCACACAACCACACACACACACAGGACACGGACATCCTCTTTTTTCCAAGTCAGCAGGAAGGACATGATGAGTGTGGCCCACACACCGACACACAGAAACACACACACACGCGTATATGTGGTCGTCTTTAAGTGGTTCACTTAACTCCCTCTATTGACCTTTTGTTCCATCTAATAAAACTGGAACATTTTTCTTTGAGCTGAGGTCCAAGAGCAAAAAGATGAAATCATCGCAGCCCTGCAGCATCGTGTGGATATTCAGCTGGATTGTTGTAACATTTTACAGAATAAATAATTATTAAATAGATCAACTATCACCTCAGAGTGAAGGTGTCTTATCCGCTGAAAACCTGCTCTCTGTGTGGTGCATCTAATTTTGCAATAACATCTTTCAGGGTGGCAGTGAAAGCTCCTTCAGCTTCCATACTTTTGGCCGCACTGGGACTTGAACCACCGACCCTCTGGTTCCCAACCCAAGTCCCTACACATATGTTACTATGTATTTGTACTCTGTTTATAAACCAGTAAGTCATTATTTGTTGTTTTGCTGCACCGCATCCCGAGAAAATAAATCTCAGTCTGGGTGGGTCCTCCCTGCTAAAATAAAGGATACATCAAATAAAAACTCACCTCATCAATCTCTCGGATCCACCTGTCGATTCCATCAAAGGACCACCGATTGGTGATGTCATACACCAGCAAGATCCCCTGTACACACACACACACACACACACACATACATACACAGTAAACAGCTAGTCTCAGAGCAGCAAAGTAAATTATCATTTTGATCATTACAGTCAACAGAGAAACCCGCTGTCTGTTTTTTCTCTGAGGAAAACTTGGACCTCGAGATTGAGAACAATTTTAAGTCAGGATGAGTGAAGTTGTCTTTTCCTCACCTGAGCCCCGCGCGAATACGAGCGAAAGATGGTGCAGAACCTCCCCTGTCCCGAGGTGTCCCTGAGGAGGAAAAGAAAAAAAGACAAACAGAAAGATAAATAGTCGGCTCAGATCTTTTTTTTTTTAAGGTTTCAGCTTTGAGGACAAAACTTTGGCTTGAAAACTAGTCTGACTCTTTCATCCAAAGATCTCTTCATCAGTTCTGGCAGAGGCAGCGGGGAGCTAACTTTCATGTAGCGACTCGGAGAAGCAGACTGCTCTCCAAACTGAACACAACAAGCCCGACGCCTTGAATAAATTCACATTGATCACCAATATCCTTGTAGTTAAAAAAAAAAGAAAAAAGAAAAATAACAGATGGAAGCAGCAGACCACTAACTCCTGTGTTGTCTTTGTGGATCCTTTGGCCACATTGTCCAACACTGTTACAAACCCTCTGAGCCTGTCCTTTGCAGAAACAAGCACATTAGTGGATGTACTTTGGTCGGGGACATTTGCCCAAAAGGATTATGTTGTTATAGCTTGCTAACAGCTGCCAGCTAAAGCAGAATACTGGATGAGATCAGGGCACAGGTTTAAAAAATACCAGAATCCCCCATTGTGTTGGTTTTGTTTGTACTGCATAGTGTGAATGAACAGTGCTTTTGTTTGGGACTATTTTCAGGTGTGGATTAATCCACATTTGGTTGTAGATTAGAGGGTCGGTTTAGTATTTGGGACGCAGCAGGACGGTGACTGTGTACACAACAGCGTGTAGACACAGATGGCAGAAAAGACAGAAATGGAAACCAAGCAGACGATGAAGCTAAGAGTGTGAGCGAGAGAAAGAAAATCCAGACTGTGAATCAAACATAGGACGGAGAGGAAAGGAGAGGGGAGGAGAGGAGAGAAAGGAGAGAAGAGGAAGAGGAAGAGGAGAGGAGAGAGAGGAGAGGAGAGGACAGGAGAGGAGAGGAGAGGAGAGGAGAGGAGAGGAGAGGAGAGGAGAGGACAGGAGAGGAGAGGAGAGGACAGAGAGGAGAGGAGAGGAGAGGAGAGGAGAGGAGAGATTCTCCATCATTACGCTGCCTCTAAACTTTTGTCTCCACCTGGAAGACGAGGCTACTGAAAGCTGCAGTGCTGTTGCTGTATCGTGTTGCTTCTGTGTTAAAAACGCAATTTGTTTCCATTCAATGTAACTGAGAATTCATCAACATGTTTTTGGTTCAGCAGTGATGTTCGCTTACCAAAGCTCCAGCTTCACTCTCCTCCCGTCCAGAAGGATGGTGGTGGTTTTGTAGTCGATACCTGGAGAGACAGAGGACGAGAGACAGAGGCAGGGATTAGACAACTAGACAATATCATGACAGCAGAGCGATAGGAGACGAGCCGACACAATGACTCATTGTCTATCTGAGCCCCTTCAGAGAGCTGTTATTATCAGCTGTGTATGTACGGCTGACGACACCACAACAGGACAGATCTTTTATTTCATCTGACTGTAATACATGACTTTGTTCCAAATCCATAAACAACATTACTGCAGGATCAACCCTACACCTACAGGTGGAGACCAGGCCCTACAAGTGTATCAAACAGTCAGAAAATGACTTGGGACCATGGAGGTCTGGACAGGAGTTTATGTCAATCCATCTAAAGAGATTTTTAAAACCTAAAAGACCAACATTGCTTTCCAAGAATTACACTGCAGGTGCGCTCGAACCACTTAAGCGCTTAAAAATAAGAAGTGAAGAAAGTAACTCTTTAAACTTTGACTTTTTAAATCCAATGGTGAGTGTTTTGAATCCCACATTTATTGTTTAACAGTCATTGTATAAGCAGCAGCGTTCAGCCTCAGGCAGCTGACAAAACCCGCCTGACTGCTACACCTGTCGTCCTGCAGCTCCGTGTTTCCACACGCTCACCTCACCCGCCGTCACCGGGCTCCTGTGTCTTTCACTGAATCTGGTACCACCTGAGGCCAAACAGGTGAACCGCAGTGTTTGCACAAACCCGGAAGATGTTTTTCTTTTTGCTAAGCACCAGATTAACGCGCGATTGTGTAAAACTTGTTAGGAAATTCATCTCGCCCTGCCCCGACATGCTAACCAGCTAAGTGGTGTTTGAATGACTTTCAACTTAAGCCATGAGTTTAACTACTGCGGGCGCGCTCAGTCTTTGTTTGACAGGCTGCTTTAAGAATAAGGCTGGTATGTTTCTGTTCCTTTTTTGTTATAAAACCCACAATAAAAGTATTTTAATTACAAGTATGAGATGTATCACAGCTCAATGCATCTTATTCCTCTTTGTCATGAGCTCAATTCTTCTTGAAATCCAATAAAACCTTGTGGGAAAATGTACCACAATAGTACACCCCGACAAATGTCTGTTTCAGTTAAGTTGAAATGAAAAGAAAAGCACAGAGCTGCAAAGATGAGCAAATTAAAAGACAAGTAAATAGCTGGAAACAAAATGTCATAATCGGCTGGTTTCAGCTTCACAAAATGTGATGAATTGCTGCTTATCTTGTCATTCATGACATTAAGTGAAGTAAGTGTCTTGGTTTTGGTCTGTAAATTGGACAGAGAAGCAATTTTGTGTCTGCACCAAGAAAGTTGTTACAAGCCTTTCTTTGCAGTTTTGATATTTTTATTGAATGGGTTAGGGTTTTACCAATTTGAAAGGTCTCTGCAGATTAATGGATGATTTAAAAACATATCTGCAGCCCTACTACAGCTGTTTTAGCCAAATATTGGGGGTTTTTTGGGTTAATTTTGGGCTTTCTACATCTTCATCCTGAGAATGGACAAGAAACCAGGGAGAGAGAGAGAGTGTGGAACGACATGCGGGAAAGGAGCCACAGGTGGGACACAAATCAAGGCCGCCCGCTAGGAGGACTGTAGCCTCTGAACATGGGGTACAACCACCAACCCATTAGTCACCGGCAACCAGATCCTTATGTCTTCTGAGCCACTTTTGAGTATTTAGTTAACCTTGTTGGTCTAATTTCTTGATATTTGAATACGATTTTCAAAAGTGATATTTGTTAGTTTACTGACAAATTCAACAATTCTTTCCATCTCTAGCTTTACTCAACAAAGCCTTGCACTGCCTTCAAACAGATTGTTTTCCTTTCTGCTTCAGTATACAAAAATGAAGACTCCTGGGAGAGAGACCTTAGCATTACATCTATTTCCCAGACTCTCACACATGACTGCCTCAGCCTCTGGCAGGTAGCAGCTGCTGGCTAACAACATTAGCAATATCTTCCAATTTTCCAGGCAGCAAAAAGCTGCTGTTGGCCTAAAGTGCTGAGCTCAGCCTGGCCTAATTTAATTGGAGTGAGTGCAGGGCTTCGTACCAAGTGGCTCCTCTCCTCCCGTTGCCAAGGCTCACTTAGATATCCCAGATAATCAATAGCTTCTCTGATGTCTCTGATGTCTTAGCTGAACGCTGCTGCGGCTGCGGCTGCTTCTATTCTGGGAGGCTGATTTTGTTTGTTCTGTGGACGTGCTCAAAGCTGCATGACGCGTTTCATGTTTTGTGTAACTGTGTCAGAGAGGCAGCGATTTAAGTCGGCGGTAATGAGATGATTTTCTTTGTCACTGTGCAAAACAATGAGCCCAGGAGGAGCATCCGGGCAGTAAATGTAATGATACATTTAATGATAAGTATATTTTTTTTTACATAAATCAAAGCAGATGATTACATTTATTTCCTGCAACTGGTGAAAGCAACCACTAAGATCTCTGTACACGTTATGAAACTGCTGCTGCATTATCTTCTCTGTTCCCCAGTAAGTTTCTCTCAGCTCGTTTGATTCTACTGAAATGCACATAGCAATGATATAAAGGCAAATATTCTCATTATAGCACCGTATAGCTGACTCTTTTATCTTTGTCAGTCACTTCGGCATCGTTATCTTTACATCATCTCTTGCCTCAGGAGACCCCCTGTCCCCTCTCCCGCCTGACAGGGATCGTCTCCAGCTGTGAGCTGCATGTGTGTGAACAACCAGATCAACCAGGAGGATTTCAGGGGCAGTCCTCCTGAAATTTCAGGGATGCATGTGTGAAAACAGCTGAAGAGATTGTTGTATTCTTTAGCCCAACTTTACCAACATACCAAAACCATAAAACTCTAATTAGCCAACAGCACACATTTTAAGTTTTGCAAGACTACCTCTGACTTTTGTTTCCTTTATGGAAGCCAACAAAACAAGTACATTTTGAGATCAATTTTTGGTGTGAAATAATCTCAGATCTTATATCCATATGCCCTACAATGAGTAAACAAGGAGACAAAATGCAGCTCCGAAAAAGTTACTACTTTATGTGGTGTGTAGCTTTAAAAAATACAAGAACAAATAAAAAAAACCTAGAGCAGCACCTAGAACGGCAAACACTGTAAATGTGTTGTTACCATGGGTAACCAGTGAATATGAATTACTTTACATGTGCAGGTGTGAAAAACATGTCAACGTTGTGAAGGAAGACAGGAAGCTGAGAAGGAAAAAAAACGGAAAGGAAAAGACTGCAGTGAGACTCGGTGTACAGTTAAGCTCTGTTAATATTGAACCTTCAGTGTGTCAGTCTGTGCATCTTTCAGGAGGATTAAATCAGGTTCAGCTTTTCATTTACCTATCAACCCTCTAAATCCCCCCTCCCCCCCTCCCCAGAGCAGTGTGTTTGTGTGTCTGAGGGGGGTTATCTCTGAGCTGGCCTGCATCCAGAGATAACTGTTGTGTAAGGATATGCAACTGTCAACACAGCCAGTCACTGCTGCGGAGGAACAATGGGCCGCCGTGCCTGCCTGACCCCTGGGGAATATTCCTTTGTTAGTGTGTGCTGAATGAAAAAAAAAAAAAAAAAAACATTTAAGAGTCCCACTTGTCTAGCAGCTGCTCTGAAAAGTGTCTTTTCAGCCTGATTTTGCATTTTAATTGGCTCCAAGGCTGGCGTTATCTGATGGCTCACATCCACGAGTGTGAAATTCAAAACCTTATTACAGTGTCTCACATGAATCTTTAGATCCACTCGGATTTCTTTGTCACCCCCAACACGCCGAAGCTCGCCTTTTTAAGCAATCAGAAAATGGTTTTCATCGGCAAGGAGGTAAAAAAAAAAAATCCTGTCAAAAAGGGTCTGAATTATTCCAAACAGAAAAGACAACCGAGAACGAGGTGGGGTTTGTAATAACCAGAAAAGCGAAGAAAATAGCGACTTTGTCCTCCCATCATAAAATGATCTGATAGGTATGAGACCATTATGAAAAAAACACTGAAAATAATCAATCAGAAATGTTTTATGATTAGCTACAACATCACTAATAACTAGATTAATTGATTCGTTATCAATAGCTTCGGTCATTTAGCAAAAAAAAAAAAGTCAAACCTTTGCAGATGCTAACTTCCTGTTTACAGTTCTTTGTCAATTAAAACTTGGGTCCATAAATAAACAAATTATCAATAATATAAATAATAAAGTGCAACACCCATTCATACACATTTATACGCCCAAGAGGAAGCAGCGGGAGCAACTTGGGGTTAAGCGTCTTGCCCAAGGACTCATTGGACATGAGGCTGCAGGAGCCGGGGATTGAACCCCCGACCAACCAGCAACAATTCTACATCAACATCTTTGACAAGGACAAGTATGACACCTTTGCTAAAACAAAAGTCACATATAATGTTTCTAGAAAGTTATTTATGGACCAATTTTTGCCCTTTGTTGGACAGAACAGCTGGAGAGAGACAGGAAATGTTGTGAGGAGAGAGAAGGGGGTCGACATGAGGAAAAGGGTCGAGGTTGGATTCAAACCTACAGCCTACTGCGACGAGGACTAAAGCCTCTGTACGCGCATGCAACATAACCACTAGGCCATATATAATAAAGAAAACAATCACTGATCACTGAAGAAGGAAAATTACAGATAAATCCAGCTGGCTGCCCCGACATCTTTCAGGGAACCAATCATAGCCTCCGGATGATGTCATCCAATTAAATACAGCTCTTCTGTCCTGATTTTCTCCTCTTGAAATATTTAGGCCCCTTACATGAATTCCCCTCCCTGCTAACCTCTCACTGCCAGAGGGATGGAAATCAATAGCAGAGCTTCTGTCTGCACAAACATCTTGGCTGAAACGCGTTCAGCTGCGTTCCACTCTGCCCTCCATATTTAATGAAGCCTGCTTCAAGGCTTTTCATGTTGCCCGCATCAATTAGGACCTCGTCCTCTTTCAGCGAGCTTCCAGGAGCTGAGCAGGCTCACATATTTAAAGAGTTGATCATTTGAAGAATGACAAATTGTCCGTTGGCAGACTACTCAGAAACCTCCATGACGACGGACACCACATATAGAAGACGTACAAAGATTTTTTTTTTTTAATGTTGCCAACCTTGGTCTCGTTTGTTTCAGGCCCGTTTGGCACCAACACGGTTTTAAGAGTATCTATTTAGCACCAGTATCGTAAAAAAAAACCTGACCGATACCGGACCCTAATCATGACCCAAGCATCATGAATCGCATTGCATCATGAGTCGAGTGTATTGTTGCATCCTGATTCTGCTCACAACTTCTTATTTCTTAATAAATATTGATGTATGACAAAAAGAAAACTCCTGCACACTACTCTTGCTCGACATTGTGGGAACCGACTTAACAAAGGTTCAGAGAGAGCGAAACAAAATGTTGAGATCTTTTCTGATGAATTGGTGATGCTGAGCAAGAGTAGTGCAGGATTTTTTCTTTTTAAATGTGACAGTTTTATGGTCTGCACACCTTCTTCATGAGATGGTTGGCTGTGCGAACACCTCCTTTTAAAACATTTCTTAATTGTAGCAATGACCTCCTCTCTGAATCATTTACCTGCTGCAATCAAACAGTTTGCACAGGGCAGTCTGAAAACACTCATGACCGTCCGGGGTCTTCATACTGCTGAGAAATACCAACAGGCAGCACCACCCTTTAGTCGATTTCCTCGTGTGATAAGCACTGGTGAAAAGGGGTCATTCTGCTGACTGATGTATTTTTCATGAACTTCTTTTATCCTCAGGGAAGAAGATGGAAATCTGCTTCATCTCACAAACTAAATGGATACTTATGGCATCTCTGACCAGGATCATTTCCATGAGGAAAACATAAGCACACATGTAATTCATGAGCACATTTTACATTTCAAATATTAGCAACCGTGCAGCAGCTTTTATCCCAAGTGGACTAAAGTGAAGGAGAGTCTAATCACATGCTTGTAATGGATGCACTCTCATCCTTTCTGTCCGGCTATGCGCTCTATTAATGTTTCCTGACAACTACCCTATTTCAGCAGGACCAGAAGGACGCCAGTGATTCAGGGTTTATTCAGAAATGTGATAGCTGAACATAGTTATAAATAACCCTGTGATATCTAAACAGATATTGCTGAAATTATTGCAAATCAGACTCTAAGATTTGCTCTTGTTCGTTTGGTGTCTGTTTTGATGTTATGTTGATAAAGTTGTGAAAAATATGATAATGCGTCTGTACATTTTGTTTTATTTTAAAATTGACCGGACACTCTGTGTGGTTTCTTGTCTGACTTCCTGTCCGAGGAGTTGTGTGTGTGCAGCGTGCGTCGTCGAAAAAGGACTCGCAGTGTATTTGAACGAGGCTCTGTAGACGGACCATGACACTTGCTGCGCACTGACAGACCGTGGCGTTCACAGATTATGTGGAAATTGGCAGCAACAGTGAGAATTATTTCTGCATTTTTTGATGGCATTGTAATGAAGCTTTCACAACAGAGATACTTTTTTCAACATACCCAACGACGATAACACATATTGTAATAAAGTGTACATAACGTGTATCAATTTTTGTAAAAACCAAACCAAACGGTGATTGATTTACTCCGACCCACAAGGCTGTTGTTACATTTTTACATGAATTATTCCTTCTTTTCCGTTGGGGGAAATGCAGTTCAAGCGAGTAATTTAATTATTTAAAGAAACAAGGGAAAAGGGGGAGCAAAAAAAGGGAGAGCCGCTTGTATATTCGCTGCAGCAATGTGCTATTTATAAAGACAAAGCCATGTAGAGATTGAGGTTTCTTGACGCTGAACATAAAGAAACAGACTGCTGCATCATGCCTTGTTTTGTGAATGAACTGTAATTAACTGATTCTTACCTGAAAGGAAGATTAAGATCACAACATCCAACAGTAATGTATGAATCATTTGTATCAAAGGGACTACAACAAATTAAAAAACTGCTCTGCTGTTTCATTTTTCTGCCCTGTTTTCTATCCGATCCTGTTCTCAGGCTTCCCTTTTATAGAAGTTGGAGATTGTGGGTACATGTGTTACAGCAGCCACAGCCCACCAGCTCACTGCAGCAGCAGGCAGTGATCACATAGAGGCTCTCAGCCCCGGAGCAACGGCAGCAGGAGAGCCAGGTGATCTGAGCTCCTACACCCAGGGAGACATCATCAGACTGGGCACAGCTCCATCAGCCTACCCCCCCTTACAGCATGCTGTTGTTTTAATGGACCTACTCTGAAGTTGCAAATGACAACCACTTAGAAATATCGTTATAATTCAATTAACCTTAGTTATGTTCAAATCAATTTCTCATGGGGATGGAGCAAACACTTGCATCTATAGCTAAGCAGCCTTAAGCCGGAATACATGTGCATTCATGTCTTAAAAGTACCAAAGAATATTGCTTGTTAGGTTTGCACTGTTCTATCTTTACTGGCCAACATCTGTACACTGGTGGAACTGTTATGGAGAAATACAATATTCCTGTTTTGGGGTGTAAATGATTTAGATAGAAAAAGTGAAGGAAATCCTCCTGTAGATTGCTTCAAATGGCAGCCATTGAAAGGTCTATCTCTGTAAAACTTCGGTCAGTGGCAAAAAATCTTTGTAACATACTTTGATAACATTTACTTTAAAGGATTATGCTGCGGTCATTGCAGCCTGTTTTGCCAGATGCCATTCCAGTGGAGTTAGTTCAGTTTTAACCTACTGGGAATTTATAAATCATGTTTAAAAAAAAGTTTAAAAACGAGTTCTTTAAGGAAAGAAGTCTGCTTCACGCTGGTGGTGATGATGTTGTTTGGAAAATATTCAGTGTTTAAAGTACAGGTCCAACACGTTGCCTCATTTTAGACGATGAGGTCATGAAAACTATTGTTCATAGAGACATACTTCCCACTACCTCAACAACAATGTACATACAGTCATGACTGTGTGATTGTATGAATGCTGTATGTGATGAGTGTCACAGGGTTCATTGTGTATTCTCCAGAGTGCCACACAACAAAAGGAGCAGCTAGTATTTTCAGGACTTTTGTGACGAGCAAACATGACATAACACATGGAGCTGATCATGAAAAGAGGGGCAAAACAGAGGCAACTGATCCCCAATCAGCTGAGAAAAGAGTGACTCACCACTACTGTATGCATATGGTGACTCGGCTGATCCATCCTGCAGGCTGTCCAGGATCTCTCCTTTGCCCACATCGCTGTCTCCGACCAGGAGGAACTTGAGCAGGTAGTCGTAGCTTTTCACCGGGCTGCCCTGGCTGCCCATCGTGTCAAGGATGGGTAACCAGCAAACCAACCCCTCTTGTGTGTTACGTTACTCACTTGATCCAAAACAAAGGTTAAGTTTGTTGTGCCATGAAGTTGCTGAATCAGGGTCCAAGAGCATACCGTCCTTGTGTGGCAGGTAACTTTACCAATCTACCAATAAAGTAGGGAGTTTACAGACTGGGGGGGTTAAAAAAGACACAGAATCAAAGGAATGTCCGTCTTGAAAAACACATTTTGTTCCAAAAATCCAGGCAAAGAGCAAAAAAATCCTTATAGCTGAAATTGAAAATAGTTTGGTACTCAGTGGTGCACAAAACTTCTGCAAACACTCAGAGACTGTCAGTTTATAGAGATGTGAAACCACAACAACTCTGAGGTTAAAGTTTGGTCTTGAGTTAAAAAAACAAAACAAAACACCTTAATCTTAGAGACAGATTAATAATCTATTAAGGATTAAGAGCAAAGACATTCAAAATGTAACTACATCTGTGGCTGGCTCCAACAAAGTCCATGTAGGAAAGAAGAACATGCTTATTGCCTGGTGTGGTGATTATAATAATCCAAGTGGGTTTAATACAGATTTGAGCATGTATATTTATGATGTGATGCTTTTTTGGCAAGCAAGTCAACTAACAAAGCTTGAATGTGTTTTGTTTTCCATTAAAAGAAGCTTGCTGGCTGAATTTAGCAGAGGAACAACGAGCTAGCCCTGCCAGGTAGCTAGCTAGCCAGTTAGCATAGCAAGTGCTACTGGTACCAGCGGAGATAATTATCTAAAGCCGCTGTTTGTGGTTGTGCGTAATGCCACGCAACACACAGTTAGATATAATATTGCAGGGAAACTTCCGACTAAATGGATATAGAATAAATACTTAATAGGAAGCTAAGTGCTAACTTAGCTGGTGTTTCAACTTCAACGGACATCCGTGTAATCTGAGGCCCCCTTGTCTTCGTTCAGTCCGGGTGACAAAGATTCCCGTAACTTCAACGCGTCGTATCGGTCGTATCCAGAAGACAACGGTATTTTCCGCGGTGCTTTCTGCGTCCAGTCCAAGTCTCTGTGGATGTACTCACTGATCTCGATCGGTAATCGTTCCAATTTTCTCCATAATATCCACTTATAATCACAGCTGTGGCTCCTCAACGCCGCACAACAACACTGCTGACAGATCGGCTGCTGCCCACAGTCGCCCCTCTCTCTCTCTGTTCCCGCCCTCTGACTCCACGCCCCGCCCCCCCGACTCAGCGATTGGACGATGTGTCCACCGTGACTCACGAAATGCCAAGCACTGGCGGAACAAAACGTCCGTCAACATTTGCTGTAAACAACACGCAGATGGCAAGGGGAACATGAACAACAAAGATGATGCATTTCTCTCACTGAATAGCTCCAGAACAAAGACAAATACTTATTTTCACGTCCAAAGAACATGATTAGATTAAAGCTTTTAAATTTAGTTGTTGATTATAATTAAAATAATGACGTTTTGGGCCTTAAGTGAATTAAAAAATATGTTATTTTGTGGGGATTTTTTTTGACTTGCAGTCATAGAGAACCCTTTTTAATTAAATATCCCAATTATGAGAGACACAAAGTAAATCAACACATCATTCTGTTATTCCTGAAATACTGGACCGTCTCTTCAAACAATACAGACATATTTTTTGGCATAACCACTTTCAATTTCACATGTCAGATAATAATTACTTATTTTGAATCATCAAACTGATTTGTGGAAGAAAGAAAACGTCTTCTTAAGCCATTTATCACAGCATGTGGGAGAAATAAATATTAATAAGCTGTGTGACGTACAGTTGTGTGTATTTGTTGCTATTATGTGTCTAATCTGTTTGTGTAACACCATGACTCACCCGGCTGGTAAGCTGTGCCAGAACAACCTGCTGATCAACGCCAACTCACATAATGAATGAAACATACAGACATCAGCTTGACAGGCAGCTAAAAGGTAATATGATGAGTAGAGCACATTTTCAGTAATAACAGGTTGTGTAAAATATCAGAATTTCCCTCACATCTCTTTGGAGCATGCACTGGAAAAGTCTTTAAACAAGCAATAAACAACTCTGAAACTGCAGAAACATATGTTCCATTGTGCTACTGATAACAACATCACTGTGATAACATCTACATGCATGCTGCAGCAGTCAAAGGTCAATTTCATTCTTCTTATTTTGATCAGTGGATTTGAAATAAATGTGCAATTGACCTGATTTTTTTTATGTTGAAGCTCCAAGTTTGGTTCCTCTGACATGATTTCACTTTGAATAATTGTTTTTTAATAAACTATTCATCTGCAAAGAAGAGTCACAAGTACTTAAATATGTGTGAATTTTATTAAATGGCATCTTAACATTTAGGACAGATCAAATGGAAATGATAAATCAATCAAAGGTTAATAAAAGTTAAAAGAAAGATTTCACAGTTGAGAAAAACAGAATTTTGTTTAAATGATGATACAGACCCATGTGTTAAGATTTAGGTAAAATAAAACGAGAATAATTCACAATTAATTAACAATCTGACATGTTGGATAAAAGCTACACCTGCTTCCTTATCCTGATTTAAAAAACACACATTGAATCACAGTTTCTTCTTCGTTTGTCAAGTACAGGGATTGGTCATGAAGAGTTTAGACTAACACAACACAAAGACCAGAAACATCTAACTGAGACTGTTATAAAGAATTAAAGGATTTAAAAAGAAATAAAGAGGCACATGTATTAAAATAAAGGACGAAAACATGACAAAATGCAGCCAGCGGCATGGCAGGACTGTTCCTCTCTCTGTAACAGTCTGTCAGAGGTAAATAGCTTCCAGTCTACTTATGACAATATGGCAACGCATGAACCTAAATGAGGAAACTCTTGCGCATCAGCCCGTCCACAGGTGGAGGTCGGTGCTCTTAGAGAAGGACCAAAGAGACTCCTTCAGACAGGCAGGATCCAAAGAGAGTACTGGAGGACACAAATCACTGACGGCTAATTTATTAAGAGCCAAATGATCTACCTGCACCTCAACTGGTGTTAAAATAAGATAAAGGATCATTTAACCACATGTTTCTCTGCTTAATGCTTCTGATAGATAAAATATCTGACACTTTTATGCAGCTCTCTTGGCCAGGACTCTCTAGAAAAGGAGATCTTGAATCTAATGTTGTAGTACAATCTCAACGAGAATATTTTCCTGGTGAAATAATAAAAATAATAATGTGTAATGTATTTGAACTCTCTTTGTTGGCTTCACTGTTTGACGCCCATCCTGTTGTTGTCCTGACTTCCTGTCACTGTTTGTCTGTCAAAGCACTTTGTAAACACCTGTTTTTAAAAAGGTGTTATATCAATAAAATTAATATTATTATAAATTTGCCGTCAAGTGATCGGCATGTTCCAATACTAAATTAACTAATTTTAATCAAAAAGAACGATTACAAAAGGTTTTTTCACAAAAAAACAATTTAAAACTATTTTTCCAGCTTGTACCATTTCAAGTAGATTCTAGTTAATTTATAATAATAATAATAATATAAAATCTAAAAGTTACAACTATTCACATGGTCAGTGCAGTTAATACATAAATACCAAATACTGTCTAAGGACTTGACCTCTGCAGTTGACCTTGAGGTGTGTGAATACTAAGTCTGATTTTACAACTCTTTGTAATATCGGATCTTTGTGTCTAACATTCAAACACAGAAAGAAAAGAATCGTCTTGGTCCCTTAGTGTTGTTTCCTTTCTGGAGGAGTGTGTTTATAAGCGTTAAGTACTGCTCATAATGATGGTGTTCATGTACTCTAAGTATTTTAACGTTGACAGGTATTTTAACAGCAGCTGGACGTGACTACTGGACGTGGTTTTTTTAGGTTCGTCGAGCTCTAAAAACACTTGACACATTTTTGTTGTTCTTCTTCCGACCTGATCAGAAAACACCTGATCAAACGAAAAAATGTGCTGACTCAGCAGCTTCAAACTTTTCTGAGTCATTCATCTTACATGAAAGCAGCGCAGCTCAAAGATCCTGCTACTTAATTCGACCTCGCTTCCCTTGTCCCCCCTCTTACCCTCCGTCAGTCCGCCTCCACCTTATTATTTATTCAGTCACTTCCCTTTCCGCCGTTCCCTCTCTCTCTCTCTCTCTCTCTCTCTCACTCCCACACTTGATGCTGAGTTCTCTCAGTCAGTCTTGGTGGTTTTGTGTCTCCAGGGGTAAATCAGCTCCCCGACAAACAGCTTCTTCACCAGGGCGCCCCACGAGTCTTTGGGGTAGCAGCTGTAGGTCGGAGTACGGTACGTCTGAACCACAGTGCTGCCCTTCAGAGGGTTAATCTGAGGAAGGAAACACACAGAAGACTTCTGAATAAATTACTCACAGACACAAGTGCAACATGTCAACAACAACTGGCCTCTGTAAACGTCCTACTTATTTTCTCATGTACATATTTAGTGATTTTTATTACTGCTTACTCTGTTCCTATTCTAAACTTTCCACAGACCTTTAGTCAGTCAACAGTTTGTTCCACTGAATGACGAGTGACTAAATGCACCTTCACCTGATTTAGTTTTGACTGTAGGTCAATTCATACCCGCTGATCTGAGGGATCTGATCGGGCTGTAGTCAGTGAGAAAGGCAGAACGATGTTGTGGTGCCAAACCAGTCAGTGCTTTGTAATGTTTTGAATTCGATATTGTGTTTCTGTATGATCGGTTTCACTGCCTTGCTCAAGGGGAAACCTCGGCAGCACTCAGGAAGTGACCTGGCACACTTCCAGCTACCGGACCAAACTTCCATGTTTAGGTCTGCATCGGGACTTGAACCGGTTCCCAACCCAAGTCCCTACAGTTGGAAGCTTCAGGTTTCCACATCAAGCTGCGAGTGAGAGTTTAATACTTGATGATGATTCAAACTAGCTGTGATGATGTTTTAAATCTTTCAGGTTCATCCCGTCGTTTCACTCAGATCAAAAAACGACCTGAAAGAAACTTTGTGCGCCTTTAGACGGAGGAATATGAAAACAAACTTCACGCTCAAACCTCAAAGTAAAATCACATTTTTTTTAAAGGAGGAGGGACTTTAAATGTACCTTCGTCTATTCACACTTTTTATTTGACTTAAAGCAGTTTTAGAAACAAACAGGCCGTCAGCTTCAGCCGCAGAGTTAGATAACGAGATTTCAAGAAGAGAGAGTTTTGTTATTAGTTTGTAATTTGATTCAAATGAACAAATCCATCACAGTTACATTCACCCTGGTGTAATGCTTCACTTCCTGTCTTTAGGTGCAAAGATGAAAAGCTCCCCAAAGAGTTTATTCACTGGATGGGAGACTAATTAAAGGAAACCAGTACAGTTACCATGGTGATCTTTAAACAGCAACAGAGTGTGACATCATACCTCCATCATCAGGTGAAGGGCGGTCCCCGGCTCCTCACACAGAACTCTGAACTTCACTCCCTCTGTAATGATCGCATCACACACGTTGTAAAAGAGGTCGGGACTGGACTTTGTACAATGTTTCATGAAGCCATCCGTCCATTCATCCAGCAATAAGCAACTTTTATATCTGGTACATTAAAGGCAATGTTTTAAGAAACCTGTAGTCATGAGTAGTTAGCATCAAACTTTGAAAAAAACGAACTTCTTCTGTTTTGAGGAACTGATTCATCTGTAACTGTTCTTAATTTATTAATTTACAGATTAATAAGAGACACGGGATGACCGGTGATTAAAGGTGATGTACCTGCCAGTCTGTAGGAGCGGAAGACTCGGAGGCCCACGGCGAACAGAGGGAAGGAGTTGATGAAGTCCACGCTGAGGTGGAGGACGCCCTGGAACAGCACCACCACCAGACGCAACTGCACAACACAGGGACGTACAGGCGTTGAAAACAAACACACCCTACACATGACACCTCAGAGTCATGCTCTGTGACAAGATCGTTATATAGCATCCAACCTGTTAATGCAATAAACTCAATAAATAAATTAATGCAGCAAACGTGTTGTAATCTTTTTAAAGGGATATCACACCCTGAATTAAATGATGACTATAAAACACACACACAGAGGAGATTTTGAAGAAGGTCGGCAAGTTTTAACTGATAATTCAAAATTATTTTGACAGATTCCTGTTGTGAGAAATCTTCAACATGGACAGATTACTTTTTTTTTAAATCCACAAACATTTTTCAAACCACTCCTGAAAGTCTAGTCACTTTTCTACCAGCAGAATCTTTTTCAGTCGTCAGTCCTGATTACTTTTTGTCACTTCGATCAAAGAAATGTGTCACTTTAGGAGCCTTTACTGATTTAAGTCGATTTGCAAAACGACCTGTATAGTTGTGTTGATAAATATATCCATTTGTGGCTAGAAGGTGACTCGTCTTACCAGAGTGAAGACCAGGTAGTAGAGCGCCGTGGTGGGAAGCAGAAACAGCAGGACGGTGAACAGCAGCGTTCCAATGAAGAGCTGCAACGACAAAAACACTCTCACAGTTAACACCTGCATCCCTCTGATGATGACATGTGAGAGTGTGTGTGTGTGTGTGTGTGTTACCTGGTCCAGGTCATAGGAGCAGGAGTCCACCCTCTGCCGCAGGACGTTCCACTTCTTGCCTCTGAAGAGCCTCCAGAGAGACGAGAGGCCGTAGATCTTCAGACAGTACAGCCTGACGGACACACAGAGAGAAAAAGAAAAAAAACAACTCTTAATAACCGTCAGCTTTTTGAAGGTCTTGGACTCATCTTGGAATTGAAAGCATTTTGACTCGCTCTTGTCTCGGTCTCAGACTGGGCGGACTCTGGGTTTTAAATCAAGACCGGGCAAGACCACCACTGACAGGTTCATTTTCATCATCACTGTGATTAGAAGGAAAACGGCTCTTTCTAAAAGAATGATTATCTTCAATTCATTCATAATTAGATTTTTATCCCTCGGTTTATGGCCACAATCTTCCCGGGGCTACGGTGCTACCCGCTGCACACAAGATGATGATATTTCAGTGATATTTATGGTCCTGGTCTTGGTCTCTTGGAGCACTCTGGTCTTGGGATAAGAGTAAGTAAAATTATGAAAATTTTCACCACATCCTGAGAAATACTGATGACATGTTGGAGTCAGCTTTTTGTGTCTTCAGTACATTCTAGCCTTATTTTTCCGACAGCGAGAGCTCTTTCCTACATCTCATTCTCAATTCTCTGTCAAAAAGAACCTGAACCTGAGAAACTGTAAGGTCACAGCGTACAGATTGAATAAGAAACCCTCACAGAGTTTTTTTTTCTCTGACTGGATTCAAACACACATTCGACATGTTCCAAAAAGCTGTCGGAGCATAAATATGTAAACCAGGAGAGTGGGTAATATTTCATTATACACCGAGCGATGCCAAGCTATCTTTAGAGCGGATGCATAATTTAGTCAATCCGTTCTCCTCCAACATTCAAGACCGTGATCGCAGTGTTCATGCTTCGACAGAGACCTGCAGCCATGAGTCATCGTGGTTAGAAATATAACTGAACACAGAGCAGGTGAGTGAACCTGAGAGGCAACTCAAACCTCATTGTTTAAGAGGACAACCAAATGTATATGTTCCTGCATCCTAAGAAGGACTCAACATGAAAAAAAGAGCACAATCTTTTTTAATCCTAAAAGTTGAAACTAGATTCCATTTACAAAAACATTAAATTTGATCCCGGGCTGCTAAGCAGGCAGTCCGGGTTCGAGTCTGACCTGTGGCTCTTTTGCTGCATGTCATTCATCTCTCTCTCTCTCTCACTAATTTCTGACTCTATCCACTGCCCTATCTCTGAAATAAAGGCATAAAAAGCCCCAAAAGAAATCTTAAAAAATAAATAAATAAATAAAATAAACACTTATTTCCCTTATAAGTTGGCAACACTTGTGGTTGGTCCTTCCTTCCACCACTTTAGCTCGAAGCATGCTGTGACATTTGGCATGATTCTGAATGTTTTTTTAAGATCTCCTGACCTTTTGTCCAATCCCAAAACAAAGAATCACAACTTCCAGCAGGTTGACAAGCGACTCAAAAGGATGAGCGCTGCTTCCTCTCCTGTGTCTCCTTCTGCACTTAACCACTGACACTCAAAGAGCTTATTGAAGAATATGAAGCAGTGATAACAACGTCTGAAGGAAGTAGCCACTGATAAAAAAAAAAGTTGGAGAAAGACGCCCCCTGCAGGGATTAAAAGGAGGACACTGATCCTACTGTTCCTCACTAAGACCACAAGACATGAAACAGAAGACTTGCTGTGATCAGCTGTGAGCAAGATCCATGTAAATAGCAGTTCTTCCAGATGTGGGTACAAAGGAGGTCTGGGCCTTATAAAGACCTGCTCAGTGAAACGTCCTCGAGATGACCCATGCTGTTTATTGATTTGCTGTCTTTTAAAGTTTGAAATGTCTCACCTGGCTCCGTAGACGTAGAAGCAGTAGATGTGGAAGGTGAGCAGGGCGACCATGTCAGAGAGCAGCGAGAGGGCAAAGGTCAGGCCCAGGCAGGCTGAGAGGCCTCCGTACCACAGGATCCCCTCGATGAAGGGAGACATGAGGTGGATGTAGCCTGCACGGAAAACAAGGATGACTCAAAGTCTGACGGAGGTGATGATGTTTTTCTGTCTTGTTTTATTGTAGAATGTAAAACGTTCAGATGTACATTTTAAAAAGGTTTCTGTACTACATAAAGCTCTGAGGATTTGTGTTGGGACTTACTGATCCACAGGTGAATGTGGTAGAGAAAGAAGCGACCCAGGACCTGGTCCAGGGCCCGGTTCATCTTCAGCCCTGCAGGAGCTCCCATCAGCCACTGCAGCAGCTCCTCCAGCTCTTTAGCCACATGCTGAGGATGAATCACAAGAGATCAACAAGACAATGAAAAAACTTTTTTTAGATTCGCTTTTTTTTTTTTTTTTTTTTTAAATCTCAGCTGATAAAAAACAGACACACACAAACACACACTCACATCAGCTGCAGGCACCAGTGCGTTGGCTAACGTGCTGATGTGGTTGTCTCTGTAGAGCCACCAGATGAGCAGCATACCGAGCGCCACGTCGATCAAGAACGACACCACGATGTTGGCTTTTCTGCGAATCAGACACAAGCATGAAGGCTACGCTCAGAGGAAACACAAACGCAAAGACAAGGCCCCAACATCTGGGAGATTCTCGGCTGCTTTTACAAACGTTTACCTCATGAACTCGGTGTGTCCTGCGGCTGGTTTTGCCGAGCTGAGTGTCCTCATGTGTTGGGTCCTGTAGCTGAGCTGGACGCAGGTGGACAGCTTACTGGACAGGAACCGGAGCGGATAAAGACTGAAGATCCTGAAGATCAAATGTGTTTCATATTTAATATTTTTCTAGATCATCGTAAAGGATTTCTCCTGCGTTATGCATGCTCTTTGTTCGTCTCACCGCATGTTGCAGATCCAGGTCCATATGGAGAGCAGCCAGCTGATGAGCATGCAGAACGGTACGGAGGCCTGTTTGAGCAGCTCCACGATGATGCTGGCCTCTCGACCGTCAGACTGCCAGTGTGTCGACTTCAGCGGCCCGTCGTCGTATCGGTCCAAAAAGAACAGCGCCTGGCTGCCGGCCACCGTCTGAAACATCTGCACCGATGAAGAGGAGACAAACATGACGACCCGTTTATATCCACCTGAGCTGCTTTCAGAGACGCACTTTCAAGCCTTTGGTTTGATGTCATATTTTGAACATATTTATGAAAAAAGACCCTCAACAAAGTAACTCAACAGTCTGAGAAGAAAGAAATATAAAGATAGAGCTTTTTACACTAACTAATTTAGATATACAAATCTAATTTTAAGACACTCAACACATACATGTACAATCGTTACCTCCTTCAGTCTAAATCAGCAGCTTTCATTTGTGAACTCATTAAAATCAGCAGACAGAACTTCAAAGAGAATCAGCCCTGTTTTTTTCTCACGGTCTCCTCCACCTCGTACCTGTCTGAGCTCAGATGGCAGTTCAGTTTTGGGGTCTGGAACGCCATTCTCGACGGGGTGAAGCTGCGACAGCATCACCTTCCTCTGCTCGTAGTGGACAAAGATCACCTTCTCTCCCTCCTCCTCCTCCTCCTCCTCTTCTACCTCTTCCTGCTCTTTCTCTTCTTTTTCACCTTGAACCAGTTGGTCCTCCTCCTCCTCCTCAACCTTCGGTTTCTCCTTCTTCGTTTTCTTTATACTGTCTGGTTGAGATGACTTCCCATCTGGTTGTAACAAAGAAAAAAAAGTTTAAAATCCTGAAATGCTTCATTTGAAAAGCGTTTTTAACAAAAAGTCCTCCTGGGGTTCATTAAGCATTTAAACATAATAAACTAAGCAGTTTGTCTTATTTCCAGTTCTTCTGTATAAACCCAATGAATAGAAGTCTGAGGTTCTCTGACCCCGGTTGAGAATCTGGCAGGTGAAGCCCGTCTTGCCGAGCTTGCGCTTGATCTGGAGCCAGCGTTCCTGAGGGAAGATGGTGCTGAGGTCTCTGAGGAAGCTCTCCATCCCCTCCTGACCCTCTTTAGGTAAACTCCACGAGCCTAGCACCGACAGCTCCACCCCACTCTGAGCCTGCACCTGAGGAGGCGGGGGGGGGAAAGACTTTCAACTCCTATTCATCAACAAAGCAGTTCCTTTTTGGGTGGGCTTTAACTTTTTAAATGTTGGTTAATGTTGCAGAAATCTTTGCACGATGAAATGCCAATTTAATTTGTGTAGATCAGGATACAATTAGCAACTTGGGGAAAAAGTTAAATTAAGGGTTTTAGGCATTTTTTCAACCAATGTCCTTGAGGAATCTTGACAGACTTATGTACTTATGTTTCAGAGAATCAATCAAAAGACAGTAAGACTAAATGTAACCCTGTCCTAGTGCCATAGAGAGCACAAAGGAGTGCTGCCCTCACCTGCTGGATGTACTGTTTGACCTGTCCTGGAATGAACGGGTAGTGGATTACAGCCAACACTACGGCCGAGTCATGACCAGGGATCCAGCGTCCGACCAGCAGCCCGCTGTCCGCCCGGTTACAGCACTGTGGGAAGAAGATCTTCAGCACCATGATTTCACTGCAGCTCAGTGTTCGGCCTCCAGCAGCTCGGATTACCTGAGAAACAAACAAAGAATTAAAAAAAACAAAGTTAGTCTGTCTCCACATCTGCTGGACAGAACAGAAAAACACCTGGTGTTGTTATCAATTCATCCAAAATATGACCAAATCAAACAACCTGTTGGTCTGTTTCTGGAAACCGGGGCGAGAGAGCGGGGAACAACCGGAGCCGCAGGTCGCAGCTTCAGACGGTAAAAGTGAAAACCACGACAAATGATTTACATATGATCTGGGAATGTGCTATGGTGCATCCATTTTGGTGTAGTATTTTGGAGATACTGGGGGATTGGATTGGTGTCACTCTCCCAGTGCACCCAAGGCTTTGCCTCCTTTGTGACAAGTCATTGGTGCCTACCGTAACAAATCCCAAATTTAGCATTTTAAAGGTTGGATTTATCACAGCCGCGAGAATTATACTGCGAAATTGGAAGGACCCCAGGCGCCCCGCTGTGAAGGAATGGACTGACAAAATGGTTAAGATCTCTTCACATGAAAACATGTTGGGAAACATGTTGGGTAGAAAGATGGCAGAGAGATGGGATCTGTTTTGGCAACATGTTAAACTAAGGTCATAGAATGGATTCATGTTGATGGCTGTACCTCTCTTATGTCTGTGGCATTATTTCTGTTATCTCATGCTAGGAGATGACTTGCATGCTCTGCCTAAGTACTCCTCCGACTACTCAAAGCGCTTTTACACTGCCTGTCACACCCACCCATGCATACCCTTTCACACACTGATGGTAATGATAGCTATATAGTATCATCAGCAAGTGTCTTGCCCAAGGACACGTTGCTCAGCTGGGGATTGAACCCTTGACCTTGCGGTTGAGAGGCGACAACTCTACCAACTGAGCCACATGCTTAAATGTTCCATAAACAAGCACATATTTGACATTATGAAGCCATCACAACTGGAAATGAGACCTTGAATAGTGTTGGACTACACTGCCCTACAAAGGCAAAAGGCAGTAACTTCAATTTTTTTTAAAATGAGTTTTTGTCATTTTTGGAACATTACAGATGTGCTTTATTACGTGGACAAATATCTTGAGTCAATTGTGTCGTTTTTTTTTTTTGTTGAGAAAACAGTAGGCTGTATTTGCCTTAACTTCCAAAAGCCCTCGAGAAACCCAGACAGAGTCCAGTCCCTTCACTCATCAGGGTCTCTGCCTTTGTTTCACTGCGGATCAAAGTGAAGATACTGTTTTACTGCAGTGGACTTAAGTTTGTTTTAATATCTGTCATCAAGCACTTCTGACACACACACGGTAGCGTGACTAAAGTGTAGCAAAGAAATAGTGTTTGGTTGTGTTATTTTAACAAGTGAAATAGAGGATCAAATGGAAGTTTCTGCCTTTAGCCTTGGCATGACCCCGTTATTATTGTACAGGCAACGCAAAGGCAGAGTACCTTAGCTTCCAAAATAAGGGTCAAAGGTCATGCTTGAGCTAAATATTTTTTATGTACATTAATAACCTCATTAAAAAGACAAAGAAATGCCACATTTCCAACATTCAGCCTGCTACTCATTTGGCTGCACAACAAAAAGACTTTAAAGTCATTTTCCTTTGTAGGTCAGAATAACTTGTTAATGTCCCACCCAATAGAAATGTTCAATAAAGCTGCTCTGGTGAACAAAGGGAGTCGGGACTAGTCGGTTGACCTCCTTTAATGCCCTTCACGTATTGAGTTGGCAGCCTGTTGTCATGGCAACATAAAAGCCCCCCCCGGGGCCGCACTGTCATCGACGGCTGAGATTTCAATCAGCAGACTAAAGGAAAGTAGGTTAGCTGTAGAGTCAGCGGGAAACACGGGAGAGTTAGTCATAATAAAGAGATAAAATAAGACTGAATACGTTTATTTAAATCAGTCAAACCGAGTTGATTAAATCTGAAACCTGTTTCAAGTTCATCGTCATTTCACACTGAAAGTTTCAGATTACTCGAAAACAAAGAAATAATTCAGCGGAGAATAAACACGGTCAAAATGCTAAAGTTAACACGGAATAAATGTGTGTAAAATATATTATTTACCGTCAATCTTAATTCAAACAAAAGCGTTCTTCTTCCATTTATTCCGCAGAGTTGGGTGAAGCTAGGTAGCGAGCGGCGCCATCTTTTTTGTTGACAGTCCGTTAAATTAAATTATCCGGGTAGAAACACAAGTTAAGTTTGTTTCCGCTTATGTGACTTCCAAAATAAAGTGGAAAATGTAATTTTATGTTGGACAATGGCATATCAAATCTAAACAGTTTGGACCAGTATTATATTTCTGGTATTTCTCATCCATTCACTTGAATTATATATTTAGTCAGTTCAGTTGAATTATTCACCCGGACTTTAATGAGGTTGAGACGCTGCTTTGATCATATTGAACCGTTTACTACAAAGACACATTTTTAACACTGTTCACACCAATAATGTTCGTGGACTGTGTTTGACCAACAGCAGTTTATGTTACAATTTCACTTAGGAAAAAATGAATTTCCATTCATAATCAGTAGACTAAGAAAATAAAAGAAAGTAGTTACAAATAATTGCATATTTTAATGTGTATAAAAAATAATGCTTTTAAAAAATATACTTTATTGAACAAAATTCCTACAGTGAATTCAACAGTTTGCATACGAAACAGAAAAGTATGCATGTATAAACATACAGAATATATACATACAAATACATTTAATCAATTAAATTGACAAAATAATTGTCATTTTGTCAGCTCCCTGCAATTGTCAATTGACATTTAATGTTTGGTTGGGTTGATTAAAAAAGGTATATGTTTTCCATTAATGCAAAATGTTGTCTTGCAATTCCTTGATTTGATCACTTGGGGATAGTGAAGACTCTTATTTTAAATTCACTTAATATGTAATCTGTCAACCTTAAACTTTCTGTTTAATCATCCAAATAAAAACGAGTTCTTTATGATGGATTTAAGACAAAACTACAATCTCAAAACAGTTCTGTAAATGGCAAAGGTACACTATAGGTAAATAAAGGTACAGGGTTTAGAGCCTTCTTAAATGATTTATTAATTCATTTAAATTACGTCAGTTAATTGTTAGTAAATTCATGCAGCCAACATTTCATATGTTTTATAAACTCAGTCTTTTTTTCTTACTGAAAATAATAAAGTCAGAACTAACTTTAAAATAAAGATTGACTTATTATAAATTCATAACGACACATAGGCCTAGATAAGAATCTCTAACTAAGAGACTACTCCTACTATAATAATCATCATCATCATAATAGTCAGTAAAGTAACCTGTGTGTTACTCACCCGTGTGTGTGCCTTTGCTGTCAGAGTTGTTGTTAAATGAGGAGTTGGCCCAACTGTTAACATTTATCTCCTCCTGCTGTGACACAGCAAGAAAAGAGCGGGAAAAAAAAACCCCAGACAGACTGAAAATAGTGACACAAATGATGTTTTATTATCTTGAATGATTCAAGGCTTACATGCCGTCTTTCCACATTGACAGATGTTTCTGTAAATAAAAAATCTTAAATCTTTATTGGTCTTGTCTTTGCTTCATTGTGGAAGAAGTTGACTTTGGCCATGCAGTGTTTTAGTACTGATTTTTTAAACGACTCTCTTTGTGTTTGTGTGGTGACCATCGACAGTCTAAGGTGGTGAAAAACCTTTATTATGAATGTTAAAACTTCAGGTTGCTCTAATATTATCAGTGTTTGAAAAACACTTCTTCATAATGCTGCATCTTACACACGCTTCAGATTATCTGGACAGTCAATGCCTCTTTTTACTATTTTCTTTTTAATATAACGATATTTAAATTTGTTTATTTATTTTAATTTCTGATTAATATAAAAATAAAAATAAATAAATTAAAGGGATTTCATGTTTCCTGCTCACTATTAATTTTCTAGAAAAATATAATTTAATTAAATTGTTTTATTTTATTTTACTTTAGCGCTTTCACAAGTTTTATTTATTTTTGTGAGTTTGTCTTTATTTGATATATTCTATAGCCTACACCACTCTCCTATATTATCTTGTGAATTCTTTTTAGATTTGTATAATTTATATACTGGTGTATTTATAAGTTTTATTTTTTATGACGGCGCTTGCTCTCTTTTATTTTGAAAAGTCTATTTTACTACGAAAGTCTGTTTGGTGATTTTTAAGAAAAAAACTACACTACCAAGTTGGTCTAGCGAGCAAGGATCGCAGTGCATTATGGGTAACGACACAGTAAACAGAAGCACGTTGAAGATGGATGAGTCTGAGCGGAAACAAACCTCTGACAGTAAAATAACAAACATGTCGGATATTTTACGAACCTTTCAGGTTTCTTTCTTCGCGATGTCTCGTCTGGTTTCGTTTCCCTGGCCAGTGAGTATGACTCAGTTTGATGCTGCCTGGCGGTAACTTCACGCCAAACTCCTTTTAAATAAATGCATATCCGGGATTTAGTGTCTTCCTGCAGAACATGCACATCTTAAATTATGAGTGATAATATTTCACCAGTCTGTGGACTTTTCGGCGTAGTTCGGCACAGATCTGACCCTCCTGCAACACAGAATAATACAGTTTAAACTAATTTAAACTAATATAATTCTGATTTTCAGTTTTTAGAAAAAGACCTTGAAAGCAACAAATCATCAGACTTCATTTTAGCCATCCTGAAACAGGTACGGAGGCCTGCAGAGCACACACTCATTATATTGATGTATCTTCATTGCACAGTCTTGATTTCAATAAATAAATAATCATATTAAATTGTCTTTTTTTCCCCCCAGACGTGTCTTCACTCTCTGTGCCAGAAGTTTCCTCCATCAGTCAGATTCAGGAGGTTGTTCCTCACAGAGATTATCAAACGGGTTAGTGTGTGTGTCATATCACTTACAGTCACAGCTAAGCCTGATGGGTATTTATTCATCTGCACTACAGAAGTGTTTCCTGATTTTAATTGAACATGGAGATGCTTAAATATGAAGGAAAGCAGGCCCATCCTTCTATATATTATGAATGAAAAGTCTTCTTCTGTGGTGTCCCTGCAGCAGGAGGCGGCAGGCTGCGATCCTCTGGACGAGCTGTACGACGCGCTGGCTGAGGTGGTGGGAGCTGAAGAGACGACGGAGTGCTACAAAAGCTACTTACTGGTACCAAACAAACGCCTTTCACTCACCTACAACCAGGCCCCTCACAGTGATGAAGGCTGGGTTCCTTTTTAGCTTTTCAAAATAAAACATGGAGAAACCAGTCTGTGACGCCTGCTGTAGTAAACTGACCTACAAACACTGATTTGAAAAAGAAGCGTCAAACACTTTTAGTTCAATTTACACATCCAGAAAGGAGTAGGCAGAAGTATAAACTGTTTTTCCTCCTGCAGCCCAGTGGTGGCGCTGTCAGTCTGCTGGAGAACGTAGCTCTGATCTCAGAGGGGACGACCGGCCTGGTGACCTGGGAGGCAGCTCTCTACCTGGCTGAGTGGGCTCTGGATCACCGGCAGTCCTTCACCGACCGGTATTCAACTTCTACAACCCACTCTGTGCCCTTCAACATCTAGTTTTTTTCTGATGACCTTCCTCTTCCTCTTGTTGTGTTTGGTTCAGGACGGTTCTGGAGCTGGGCAGCGGCGTGGGGTTGACCGGCATCACCGTCTGTCGCTCCTGCGGCCCGAACAGATTCGTCTTCAGCGACTGTCACCCCAGCGTGCTGCAGAAACTGCAGAACAACGTGGAGCTGAACGGACTGACGGAGCGGACGGCTCCTGCTGTCAGTGTGGAGGAGCTGGACTGGACGGCGGTGACGGAGGAGACGATACAACGGATCGGAGCTGACACTGTCATCGCTGCAGGTCAGAGAGAATTCTCTCTATCATCCTATGAGTCTATATCGTGGAGTGTGGAATTGCATTTAGCTGTTTATACAACAATCATTATGGACATTTCTGTCCATTTGGTCAAATGTTTTCTCTTCATCCAGTCATCATTTTGTCTGTTTGTGCATATGGAACACATTTTTTGTAAGAAAGTCTCTCTTGACAAATTTTTGAATGCACATTTTAATTTTTTTAATCGATCAATAGAACACTGAAACATGTTTACTACCCTCTGAAGTCACTAAGGACTAAAATGTCCACTTACAAAAAACTGATATAAAAATAGAACAGATTAACATTTCTTTTCTACTTTTTTCCGCATACATCTCTTAAACAACTCCAGCCCTGCTCAAAACTATCAAACATTCAATCTTTTAGGAATTTAACCCTTTGATGTATGCAGAAAAAAGTAGAAAAAAATATCAATCTGTTCTATTTTTATATCAGTTTTTTGGCATGGTCATTTTTGTCCTTAGTGACTTCAGAGGGTCGTAAATTAAACTGATGCCTGAGGGTTAACCATTATCAAAACAGTTGCAGATTAATTTCTGCAAATCAAATAAATGGACTGATGCAGCTGTGCTTAAAAAACTGTTTGGTAGTGAAACTAAATGTTTAAAAATGGAGTGAAAGTTCTGCAATAACAAACTATTGCGAGTAACTCTACTGATTTATGACGTTGCTGGTTTTCTCCCCCGTGGTGTAGACGTGGTGTACGACCCCGACGTTGTGGGGATTCTGGTGAAGCTGCTGTCGAAGATCCTGAGGTGTTCGGGCCCTGCAGTCCTCCCTCAGGTCCTCATCTGCTCCACCATCAGGAACCAGGAGACCTACAGCGGCTTCAAGCAGCAGCTCGGTAAGAGAGCACGGTTTGCTTCTTACAGAAACCAGAGTCTGAATGCAAAACAAAAATGACTCCTTCATCAGCTTCAGAAGGGTTTTCACTTAGATTTAAGGAGTGCAGACTATAATGGATTGTCTTCAGGTTTCATTTCTCACCTTTCTTGTTTCAAAGCTATTCTAGAGTTTTCAAGCCCGTCTTCTGGATAAAAAAAAGTTTACTTGGATGATGTTAACTCTTGTTTTGTTTTTATGTTGACAGAGAACGCAGGAATCAGCCACCGTGTGATCACAGAGCCCGTCAGCCACGTGTTTCCTTACAACAGAGACTCGGCTATAGAGCTGATTCAGCTGTACTCATGACACGGCTGTAGAACAATAAAGATTTTTTATTTACAAATGTACACAGTAACAAATTGTCCTTTTTATACATTCAAGTGTTTTGAAGTAGGAATGAAAAGGCAGCGAGTTATCTGACTCGTTTTACTGCTTCATTCCATTTTCTACAAGTTTTTAAAAAGCACCAGATATTAAATCTGGATGTCCCATCTTTCATACATCCCAAATATTCTGTCTCAACTTCCCTGATCTGAACCAACCGTCTTGTTTCCTTTTCGTTCGTCCAAAACAGAAAATCTTCCAGGCAAACATCGATGGTGAAAAAAACCTAAAAAAACACTTCACTGTTTGTTTTGGTCTGAAAGTAAAGGAATGATCCATTAATGTTTTCCCTCAGGGAGCAGTGATCAGAGGCAGGACGTTCTGGTCCCAGTTGTCGTCCCAGCGCTGCCCTCTGCTGGAGCGGAGGCTGCTCCTGAACGCACCCAGTCTGCCGCCTGAACTGGGAAACTCTGACAGCAGGGACTGAAAACAAAAAAAGACAAATCCACAGTTACTAAATTAGTGAAAGGTTTTGTGAAATAAGACATTACATGTACTTTAAAGAAACTTGAAAACGTTTTTCTTTCTGCACTGGCAGCTATTTTCACTCATTCAAAGCAGTTGAAGCCTTTTGTTTTCGTTGTAATATCTTGAAATAAGATGCTTTTTTTGACTCCTCAGTGGAGGGCGTTCAGGTGTTCCTCTCACCTTGAGCTGCTCTGCGAGCTCCTGAGAGTCTCTGAAGATCAGTCCGTTCTCCTCATGCTTCACCAGCTCGTGCAAACTGAGGATTAACAGAAGATCAGAGCCTTCATCACAAATCAACAACAAAATGACGCTGTGTGTGTCCCCCCCTTCAAGAGTGATGATTAGAAGATGTGTGTGTGTGTGTAACAAATGTAAATCTGAACGAGACTGTGCTCGATGCTCACCAGTTGAAGTCGATGGCGCAGACGGGCAGGCAGCAGCCGAACATGTCGACCACCTTCATGGGCAGATCCAGACCGCTGGACGACATGTGGAGACAGACACCCAGGTCTGCTGAACCTACACACACACACACACACACACACACACACAAAATGAAACGTTTCAAGCAGCAGACCAACATGTGAGTTTAAATTCACATAAGAATGAGAGAGGGTGTGTAACGTTGACCTTTAACCTTACCTAATAACACCGGGTAGTCCTCGGCCTCCAGCCAGGGAGTGCAGATCTTCACATGTTGTAAACTCAGAGAGTCAATCAGCTTCATGTAGTGCTCCTTCTGAGGACCTTTACCTGCACACAAAAGAAAAAACACTCCAGTGAAATATGAAAAGCAGCTAATAGTCAGACATGTTAGAAGAGAAAGAGCTGACTGTTTACCTGTGATCACACACACTAAAGACGGTAAAGAAGATCCTCCTTTGATGAAGCCTTCGTACTCTGTTGGAGGAGAAACAGGTGAGAGGTGAAGAATCACAAAAACAAGATATTTTTAACCCTTGGCCAGTCAAATTTTTTTTTTAAATAGCCGAGTTTAAACCCTCTCTCACCTTCAAGAGCCTTCAGGAGGACGGAGAAATCTTCATCCTCTGTGGAAAAGAAAGAAAAGATTTGTCAATTTTTTAAAACAAAAGAAAATGAAATAATCAGAATCATTTAAAGAAATTCAAAAACGTGCTTTCTATGACTTAAACAGGTACAGGTGTCTAAGGAGTGACACTCCGTTAGTAAGAGCTGCCTCTACAGTCTCTTCCTCTCACCTGTCCAGCTCGTGCTGCTGATGAGCAGCGCCGGTCGCTCCGCCCTTAAAGTCACCGTGTCACCTGTGAGGTCACGAGCTGAGAAAACCGTCCTCTCCACCTGAACGTCCGCTTCATCAGACCTGAAAAAACAAACACAAGACTTTAAGAGTGGAAGTGTTACAGACAACATGAATGATCCCGTCAAGAGAGAGAAATGTAATGTTTGGTCTATTAATGCCTTTATAAGTGAGACAGAGAGAGAGAGAGAGAGAGAGAGAGAGAGACAGAGAGAGAGAGACAGAGAGAGAGAGAGAGAGAGACAGAGAGAGAGAGACAGAGAGAGAGAGAGAGAGAGAGAGAGAAATAACATGTGGCAAAGAAGCCACAGGTCGGATTAGGACCAGGGCCGCCCACGTCGAGGACTACAGCCCTCTGTACATGGGGCGCTCAATCAACCGCTAGGCCACTGCGGCCACTTGATAAACTGATATTACTTTCCTCACCGTTCACTCTGGAACTGAGGATATGTGTCGGCCAGTCTCATGAAGAGCTCGTGCTGCAGCTCCAGAGGAGTCTCTCTGAAGATGGAGGCCGGTCGGTCGTACAGCGTCGTCGCCCTACAAGAGACAAAGAGACGCTCGAGCTGTCAGCTGACATTCATTCACTGAGATTTAGAGAAGCTTTCATCTGAGAAATAGTCATCACAAGCGCCGTTATCTATTTTCATAAAGTCCACCTTCACACTGTCAGGTTCCAGTAGGAGAGGCGCTGCGAGCATGGCTTTTAAAATAGTATAAAAAGTGAAAAAGAAAACTTACTTGATGCCCCAGTTTTCCTGCAGGTCGTCCTTCATCGCGTTGGTGACACACAGGTTGTGAGCGGCCAGAGGACCAAAGAAGAGTTCATACCTGGAAGAATACAAGAAAAACTCCTCAAGATATACAATCCACAATATTAATAATAATAATAATAATGATAATAACTTTATTTATATAGCACCTTTTAAAAACACAGGTTTACAAAGTGCTTTGACAAACAGCAAAAACAAGAACAAACTAAAGCAAACACAGAAGAACATTAACAACAGCAAGAACAAACAAATGCAAAATACTAAAAATACAAAAAATATTTCAATCTAATTCAACAGAAGAGAACCCATATTGCACGATACCCAACAGCAACACTGTCAAAACATCACAGGGTCTTTTGTGACCCCATTAACTGATTCGAAACCCAGAATCTATACAATTTTTTTTATGTTGAGCAAGTCCCACCACAGACTCAAAAAAAATGTATCTCAAAGAAATTCATTTAGATCCAAAGACAAAGTCGAGAACATAACCTCAGTACACGTTGGCTCTTGTAGTAATAAGTGATAAATCTGTTCAGTTGACTGACCACTTTGCCATCCGGACCAGCGGGTGTCTCTGTCCGTGACTCAGGGCCATGATGGTGTAGCCGTAGTTGTGCCAGTCGATGATGAATGTGCTGCCTCGCAGGACGCTAACGAGCCACGCTACTGCGATGCTGGGCAGGCCCGGGGGATTCTGGGACACAAACAGGATAATCATTAACATCGGGGCAGATCAGCATATGTGTTCATGTGGGTATCAACGGTGTCAGACTGTGAAACCTTTAGAGGAGCTTTGCAAGATCTGCAGCTCAAAAAAACCTCCTTTATGTATCTGATGGTGACGTCAGTAAAATCCCTCATTTCATCCTCTGCCTGAAACGGTTTGTATCAGCTGCTGTCTCTTTAGTGTGGACATCCAGAAGTGAAACACTTTACCTGCATTAGTATATGAGACTGTGCGTCCATCCTCAGCAGCACAAAGAGAAGCTGCAGCACCTGAAGGATCACCTTCGTCACATACGTGAGGAGTCTCGGTCCCCCTGAAAGAAACAACATCCTCAGTTTACTGACACCAAACAGACACTGTGTGTGTGTGTGTGTGTGTGTGTGTGTGTGTGTGTGTGTGTGTGTGTGTGTGTGTGTGTGTAAACAGACAGCTTCTACTTACCTTGAAGACCTTTCACTTCCGTCATGGGGACGATCTGAATGTTCTCTTGTCTCAGGACGTCTGGATGAGGTTTTGAATCTAAAATGAGAAAATAATAATAATAATAATAATAATAATAATAATAATAATAATAATTCCGCAGCTGGATGAATGATTTCTCCTTTTTTAACTTCTTTTGGAGAATGTAAAGTGCTGATAATGCAGTCATGATTATCTCTAAGAGTCACATTAGAAGCCATGTAAATAAATAAATGACTAGGCTGCTATTGTTTACTCTTTTTTTATACAAATTATTTAAATTATTATTTTTTTTCTATTGTGACAAATGATGTATGTATTCATAAACTCCTGGCCTGATTTGTATTCTGTTTTGTCTTTTTAAACTTGAATTTGTGTTGGAGAGATGACAGAAACCCTTTTAGCTGTAAGCATAGATAACAGTATAAAAACATGTTTATTGTTATATTTTGTACAATATTTATGTATATTTAATTCTGAGTAAGTCTTATTCTTCTTATTTATATTTAATTCTTACCATAAAACCCAACAAAAGTCACATTAAATCCGTGTTTGCTGAGGGACAAGGAGTGATACTGCATCCGAGGGCTGCGTCCGATGTCCCCCAGCACCAGCACGCACACCCGCCGGTCAGTCTCCGCGCCCCGCCGCCGCCGTAACCTCCGTAACCATAGCAACGCCAGGACGGTAACAGCCGTCAGAGACACAACCGGACATGTCCCGTCCGAACCCGAGAGGAAACACGCCGTTAAAACCGACGAAACGAGTATAAATACAGTCAGGAAGGCTGTGCAGGTGCAGTGCGCCGCCATGTTTGTTTTTTTATTTGTGATGACGTGGTGGCTCGATGAGAAGGGGCGGGGCTTCAGATTTAAAGGGACCGCACACTGTTCAGTTACTACAGTAAAATAACAGTAATCATGGTAAAATCATAGGGTAAATATGTGAGATATTTACCAAATTAAATAATAAAGTGATCTTACTATATGATCAGACTTTAAGGAAACATGATATGTTGAAGTTGCTATTCTTTTATTGTTATTTTGGATAACAATGCTCAACTTCCTGTTGTATTCTAGATCATGACAAATTAACTAAATTAACTTAAAACCAGTGCTGTTAAAATGTCATAAATAAGTTGAGAGCTCAAGAAAACAACTGGAAATAACCCATTATCACAGGAAAAATAATTAAAATAAAATACAGATCCTTATGACGGAGGATTAGGGCCATGTTAAATGTTATTTATTTTTTTTAATTTCGAGAATAAACCCGTCGTAGATCCTCCTCAAGCTTCCATACTTATTTTTATTTCATAGCCTAGTATCTTTACTTGGAAAAAGCTTTCATTTAACAAGACCGTTGTCTCACCGAAATCTGCAGCATTTAAGAATAATTCAACTGTTCAGTGTAGGAAAATAAGTTGTACTTTAACAGATAATTGATGGCACCTTGGTAAATCCTGATGAAAGTTTTGGTCACAAAAGAATCGAATTTTAACAGCACAAAAAAGTTGAGTTCTTTAACAACCTGATATTTGTGTGTTGGTAAGAAACACAATTTGAAAAATTGTGACAATGTAAGTCTCTTTCATCGATGCATAGGCCCACATTTTGTTGCTTTTAAAAACTTTAAAGAGGTTATATATAGAATAGAATGGAACAGAATTACTTTATTGATCCCAAACTGGGAAATTGTGGCGTTACAGCAGCAGGTTATCAAACACACAATATGAGCAAATAAACACAATATAATATTAAATACAAAGTAAATAAGCACTAAAAATATCAAAACTAAGAACGTGAATATATACAACCAGGATTTAACTAAGCATTACTAGTCTTAAATATGAAGATTAAATGTAAATGTGCAACAGCAGAGTTGTAAATGGACAGTATCGACATAGGGAGCTGAGCAATCAGTGATACTATGAAAGTTAAAGTAAGAGTGTAGACATGTTATCAGCAGAGACTGTTCAATATAACGGCGAGTAGACAGACAAATGCAGATGATTATATGTGATCATAAGGTTGTAATGAGGCATGTGAGAGGCGTGTGAATGTGTAAACTTCAAAATAAGCCTCCTGAATTAAAAGATTACTTTTGTAGTTTTACTGGATTTCATTATGGCAACTCTTCTGACGTCACGGCTGTTTCCTCCCCCAGCCTCCTCACTTTGACTCCCTCCTTGTTGTTTAGAGGAGAGACAGCCCCATCGTCCCAGCTCCTCTCTTCCTCTCTCCTCCTCTTGTTTCAGTCCCGGAGTCTCCAGGCTGGGATTATCGGTCGTGAGAAGATGCGGGCAGCGGCGCACACGCTGGCCGCAGTGCTGGCTCTGTTTGCCGCAGTGTCCGGGTCGCAGGCGGAGGTGATCGATGACATCCTGAGCAGCCTCAACAGGGGAGCATCCTTCCTGGAGAGACAGCACGAGCACATCAACCTGGACGGGGTGGTGGGCTTCCTCATGCTGCAGGGTAAGTAAACAAGTCTGCAGAGGAGGAAAAAAAACATCCGTTTGTTTTCGGAGTTTGGTGCAGCTGCACTGGGTCAGCTATTTAAATAATAAAGTATTCACTCACACCAGTCCCGACTTTATGCGAGTATACAAGACTACTTATCATGGGAAATCAGGAGGGCAATTTAATGCATATTAAGGATTCACAAGGATTGACTCTTAAACTAAACGAAACAACTTTTCCCATATTGGTTATTTACTCTTCAAAAAATCAATTCATCTGTCAAGTAGATTTAAGTTTGTATCAGAGGTTATTTAGCATTTTAATGAATCTGTACATTTTCTGAAATATATCACAGATAGATTTTGTCAGGGTAAAAAAAACAAGCTGTCATCTCATCCTGGCCTGAATAGGATTTTATTGCTTTCCAACACATCACTCAATGATTTGTACAGAAAAGTGTTCTGCGATGTTAAATAGTTGTTTTTCTCAATGGAGTCTGGTGGTTTGGAAAACTGCAATGTGCAATGCAACGTTTCTGGTTTCAATGTTTTCATTTGATTTGAACAAAAAAAAGGTCTAAAAAAGGTGAAAAGTAATTCGAATTTAAATGTTTTATTTTAATCGTTTTCTGTACAAAATCAGATCTAGATTTTAGGGTTAGGATAAGATGTCATCTTTTCAATGCATTACAACAGTGTCACTAAAAGTAAACAAACTATGTGTCTACACACTCTAAGCAAGCATGTTTGTTAATCAGCTCTTAAAAACACCACATCTTTAAGTTTTAGTCATATCAAAGTTATTACAATTCATCCAAAGGGAAATCAAACATCTGGACCGTCTTATTCAAAATCCAAACTCTGAAAAATCTCAAAACTTACCAAGTTTATTTATTTAATTTCTAGTGAAAAATATTTCATTACACTTGATATGAGTCACATTCACCTGACAAGTCAAGCTCATTATTATTTCAAGATATTACAAGCAAACACTTAAGCCTGAATGTTCTTGTAGTATGTAAAAAGAGCTTGTTAAATATCTGCTTGTTATGTTTTTTTTAAATGACTTGCCGTTTCTTATTTCATGAAACTTTACAAGCTTGCTTCACTGGCAGCTATTTACTCATTACCAGCAATTCAAGTCTTATATTTTTTACTTATTTGAAGTGTAATGAGACATTCTGACTAGAAATGAGACAAATACAGTTGCTTAGATTTGGGTTTTGCAGAGTAGAGACATTTCAAACAGACCTTCATCTCTGCACCACGATCCAGGCTCTTCTTTGTGTCTTTTATTTATTGTGATTTGTTGCTCTCAGCTGAGCTAAAGGAAGCAGTTCGGACGTGGCCTCACACCGACACGGTCAGCTGGGCTCAGAGAACCACCGCCGTCGCTCTGGTCAAGCGTCTCGACCAAAGCTTCGAGAAGGCCGTCACCGCCCTGCAGCAGAACGACGCCAAATACTACAGAGGTGAGAAAGTGTTTGTTTGTTCCTGTAGTGTCATGTCCACTGTGGTCTTAGTACACAAACCTGTTTCTCAAGTGAAAACGCTGCATGTCAATATTTTCTTTTACAAGTAAACACATAAAAACAAACTTTACTTTTACTATAAGTATGATACCAGAACAATCTATTAAACTGTTATGTCCCAAAGTCAAGTATAGAGGACATGTTTCTGTTTAACTGCGACCTTGATTTATTAATTTGTTTTATATTTTCTGGAAGATAAAGTTGCTTTTTTGTCAGGAGTCTGGTGTTTAAAACAAACAAACAATGTTTACAGTTGTTGTGGAAAATGTGGGGATAAAAAGGATGTCTCAGCAGCGTGCTGTTTCTCACTTTGTCCGACACCCGGCCGATGGAAACAGTAACAGGAATTAAAACTGCTTTGGGGCGCCAGTGGGCGGGTGTTGGCTGCCTTACCACATGTCCTTCTCGTCCAATTTCCAACTCTATCCACTGCTTCTTTGCTTTGCACCCTCCGATGTCTTGACCGCAGTTATACGTCACTTTCTTACCAAGCATCTTCTAAATGCTTCCTGTTTCTTTTTCTCCCTTTTCTTCCCGTCAGAGTTTGAGCCCCTGCTGTCGTGGAGTTTCTGGTTGATCCCTCAGGGCTGGAGCTCCACAGACGCCAGCCTGGTCTACTCCTCCACCATGACCACAGAGTGCTACGACGAGCAGCTCAGTGACAAGTGTCTGACCCTGCTGCTGGGAACGTGGTACGAACACACAAACCGGCAGGGACGACAACAACACACACTTTAGCATGACGTGAAAACACACTGAGGTTCAAACTGCAAAGAAAAGTGAAAGTGGGCGAGCTCTAATTTAAGAAAATGTTTGTTTTAGTCAACAAATCTTAACTGGACCCAAACCTCAGAAAAGGCAGGTGAACAATTCATGAATCCACTTTTGAAATCCTAAGAGACTTTCACTGTCCAGCTGCCAAAACCTGGAGAAGACGAGCCCTCGAGGACTGTAACTTTTGTTCCCACATAGATGCCGATCTATCCATCCAAAAGGTTTAGTCCTCAATCAACAGAAAACTTCAATAAACAAGAAATTCCTTATTTAAAGGCTAAAAAAATACCCAATAGTTACTGTAAAAGTGAACTTTTGCTGCTGTTTTAAGACAACAAGAGTGTGTGTGTGTGTGTGTGTGTGTGTGTGTGTGTGTCTGTACAGGAAGATGAACGGGACGCCCTGCATCGTCACCAAACCCTGTCGGGACACCATGACCCAATTCGGTTGTCCACATTACTCTCTGTCTCACCAGCTGCTCTACTTCATGATCGGAAAAATGGTGAGATGTGCGACGTCATGGTCTCAAATTACACAATCAATAAAAGGCAGATTATGTTGCAGCAGGACACAGACAATAACTAACCTGTGTATGACAAGAATTATCAGCAGGGGCAAACATGTACATTTGAACTAGTTTAGCAGGAATGAGCACAGCCATCCACTCTCCCAGAGTGAAGTAACATCATGTTTTGATCAGAGGGGCTGCACCAACCTGCTGAAAGGCGACACACGACCGTCCCGAGCCAACATGACCGAACGCAGCTACGAGAAGATCTTCTGCTCCAACATGATGAAGACCAACCAGGACATCATCAAAGACGGCCTGACCGAGCAGACGGTGGACATCTTCATCGAAAACAGTGAGTGTCTGCTCACCAAATGTTAGCGTCTTTAAAAAGGACAACCGTACTTTCTATTTCATCATGTGGCAGTGTTGCTTATTCATCCACACTGCACATATTTGACAGATCTGTTGAAATGCTCAGGCACCATGCTGCTCTGTATACAAAGTTTCTGTGACTTTTTAACCAATCAGAGGAGGGTGAGCTTTTAGGGAGGCGGGGCTTAAAGTGATAGGAGCCAAAAATGGCTTCTAATTTACCAGAAATTAATGCAGCCTCTGGGTTTCAGAAGTGCGCAACCTGCGTTCTTCCTAATGGCCAGCAGGGGGCCGCTGTACTGGTAATATAAAGAAGTCAGACTTTACAGAAGTCTATGAGAAAATGACCTTACTTTAACCGTCTTATTTACAGTGATTTCTTTAATTCAGGGTTCTTTTTGGGGAGATTTATCAGAGTGGTTAACAAAGTCGAAATCTGAAAAACATTCAAATGTAAAGTCTGACCTGAGTCCCTCTGCTCTCTGTCAACAGTCCTTATTTGTGGATTGGCTGGTTTCTCTGACTTCTACAAAGCTGATTGGCTGCAGCACATCCTCAGGCTGCAGGATGAGGAAGTGGGCTGCTTTGGGAGAGACAGTAAGTGATGGAGCACCGTTAAAAGTGAGAAATCTTACCGGTATCATACAACAAGTTAAATGCTTCTGAATCAGAGTTATTAACCTTTTTATTTCCATGTAGCATAACTTTAAAAAAGTCTGATATTTTGTGAATTTGGTCCAACTGTCCGAGTCCTTTCCCTCTGTTTGGGTTTTGAGTTCATATCGTTTATCTAACTCTAAAACTGAATTGAAAAGCGTTTGGTTCCATGTTTTTTTATGAGCATGAGAACGCTTGACTTTCCCCTCTTCTGCCGTTTTTCTTAGAGAGCATCATCTCTCAGATCATTGGAGACGAGCTGCTGGAACAGCTGCAGCCTCACAGGAGAGTGAAGAGGAGGGAGAAAATACTACCAGGTCAGTTTGTGATGGACTGATTTTATAATGATGCTATAATCACACAGGATAACACAAGTTAGTAGTTTGGATCCCTTTTCACACATGCACTCCTCAAAAATGTCTCAGCTTTAAAAGGGTACAATCACTTTATCTGAACCATTCTCTTGCCCGCTTCCATCACTGCAACACCTGTTGGTTTGACCTGATAACTGCTCTCATATCTACAAACTGAGGGGCGTCCAAAACGGCCGTGTGGGGGGGTGTCTTAAAAGCGCCTACCTTCTCTGGTCCAAACAAATCCAGATCATTCAGGAGCAGAATCTAAAGTTAGAAGGAGGACATACTGGCTGCTGCATTGTTGTCAGAGAAGCCAGCACTTCAACATGTTTCATTAATGTCTGATCAGAGAGGAAGGTCACTTTACAGATTGAAATCTTGATTCTTCTCATTCGTCCTTTATCTAACCTCTTTGTTTTGCTTCCCTGTGTCTCCTCTCCTCTCACAGATGGCTGCTCCAGTCACATGACTGCTGTGGCTGTCGGCGCTCTGGGAGGTTACCTGAACTACTACCTGGCAGAACAGGACATCACGAAGCGGCCGCTCTCCTGAACGCCCTCACCCGGGGGTTTTCCTCTGATAAACACTTTGTAGATCATCAGGTTAGAGATGCTCTTCATGACCCACGACACAATATGTTACTTTATGAACACGGTCGTAAGATGATGTAAATGCTCAATAAACTCTGGGATGTGGCTGTTTGACACAGATTAGACTTCTTCTTTTCCTGCAGAGCTTTTCTTATTGATTCGTGTGATCACAGTGAGGTTGCAGCATGTGTTGAATGTGACCTGATTCATCTTAAAGAGGCAGGTTTTTTTTTTAAGTTTTGATGCTCCAATCCTGCAAACCAGCTTCCACAGTTTCTCTTTGCAGACCTGATAAAGGGTTACTCTGAAATATAGAAAATGATTGTCCATGGGAGTTCATTTGATGTCTATGCTTGGTACTGTTTCCAATCTACATGTAGGTAATAGCTGCAAAAAATGCTCATTTGTTTCTGGATTAAATCAGGGTTTTTATTTTATATGAAGGCAGACACCGAGCTGCTTTTGATAATTATTCATCTTTTCAGTCATTGCTCAAAGAGAAACATTTTGTGGTAACAGCGTTCTAAGATGTGAGGATTGGCTGCTTTTTCTTAGGGAGGATTTTAGGTGAGCAGCTGCAGGAAGAATGTGAAGACAGAAGTTCTTTATCCTGCTAGTTGTAGGGCAGGGTTTTGGAATTGTATGTTTTAGAAAGTAACAGAATAATCAGATTTATCCTACAAATTTCAGAGAGGATTAAAAAGAGGGCATTTAGATGTTTGATGATCTGAAACTTGATTAGTTTAAAGCTTGCTGGCTTCTTACAGACTCTTACTGCAGGGTCTAAATATGCTTAAAAACTGAACTTAATATCAGTCCTTCACAGTCTGCTTAGAGCACCCCTATCTTAAAATCCACAACATATTTACAGAAACAAAGTAAAAGACCTGGATATAACATCCAAAAATAACATTTCATTTTATTTAAATTATTGCTTTCCACAAACATTTTATCTACGGAGAGGATATACGCATGAACTTTGTAAGCATGTAAATAGTCGGACATATAAAATATCATCATGTATTTTATGTCAGCAGAATAAAACAACCAACAAAACAAAGTATTTGTTAAACCTTTTTTGTCTTCAATGACATTTAGTCTTTATAACAATAAATGGAGATCCTGTCGTTTGTGAAGGAGAGCTTTGGTTTAAGCAGACGGCCTTTAAATGAGTCATACATTAGAGTGATTACATAAGATCTGTTTGAGCGATCACTCGGCCAAACCCCGCCAGCTCAACTTCAAAATAAAAGCCTCCCCTGGGACGTGTGTGAGGAGGGAGTCCAAAATCTGCCCAAATGAAGTCAGGAACTGGAAGCCGTTTTGATTCCCAGGAATTTAAAGCTTGCACAGCAGGCTTTACTCAAAATACATCAGAGCGTGTGTGTGTGTGTGTGTGTGTGTGTGTGTGTGTGTGTGTGTGTGTGTGTGTGTGTGTATGTCCAGTCCACAATCCTTCAATCAAAGACAAAGTCAACCACACATCCTAGGCCGCGGTCGGTGACGTCTCATATCTGGTCGATGAGGATATGCAACACCTGTGTGATGATGTCACTTGTTCCAGCCGATGACCTCATAGAACAGAGCCTTCAGCAGTCGAGCCTCGTAGGTGACGGTGTTCTTGCCGATGTGAATGTGGACCTCCTCCAGCGGCTGCTCGATGATGGCAGGCACCTCCTTACCGTACGCTGCAGACGAAAGGAAACGACTTTTATTAGACACTGGTTCAACATTTTCTTCACAGTCAAAAGCAGCTTCTCATTTCTAGTCTGTAACAGTTTCATTTTTGATTCCAGCTCGCATGATTTGGGGAGGATTGTATGTTTTGTGTGTGTGTGTGTGTGTGTGTGTGTGTCTGTGTGTGTGTGTGTGTGTAACTGCAGCTCACCCTCGCAGTGCTCCAGGAACTGAATACACTCCTGTACCACGGCATCCCTCAGCATGACCATGTGTTTGGACATGTTCTCCAGCAGAGACAGGAAACAGCGCTTGGCGTAGAACCATGTGTCTGTTCCCAACTACATAAACAAGAACACACACACACACACACACACACACACACACACACACACACACACACACACACACACACACACACACACACACACACACACACACACACACACACACACACACACACACACACACACACACACACACACACACATCCTTAAAAGACTTTAGACTTTGACATAATTGGAAATGTAGTGACAAAGAATGGAATAAAGAAGAAGAAGTGGTAAAGCAGCAGATAATATTAAGAATATATATTATATAATTTATTGAAATAGATGGTACAATTCTAAATCAGACTAGCATCATTCATCCAAAACCTCACCATAAAACCCTTCGTCTGCTTTCTGTGTTGTTATCAATATGGCCCCCTTCTTCATGTTCCTTCTGCCTATTTACAAAAACACTTGTGCAGCACTTTGAGCTGCATGACTTTTAAGATAAGTGCTGTAGAAATACGATTATTATTATTTTTAGAGGATGGCACTTAGTAGAGAAGATTCATTCCTTCTGTTTGAGCGAGTTCAGACTCTTTTGGTCAGATTTAGAGAGGTTGGCGTGACTGTGGGTCTCCAGGCTTCACATTCCTGAACTCCTCTCTGCTCTCGCTGCGGATGAGACTCTGCGCTTGGTGATTATAGTCAGCATGAGAGGAGGAAACACTCAGGAATGACGGCTTGTGTTCTCAGCTGGACGCTTAGTGGACTCAGCTGTAGCCGGGGTTCAGTGTTGTGACTGGATCGGATCAAAAGGTTTTCCAAAAAAAAAAAAAAAGCCTCAGTGGGAGACTCCTGGAGGGGGCTTGGACGGGTATTTTTGGTTCAACACGTGATGTTTGTCTTTCAGGTTTGGCCTTTTAATGCCGACCACCTTCAACAAAATGAATTCTTCAAGATCAACAGTGGGTTCAATACAGAAAAATCTGTCTGCTGCCCTTAATGTACAAAGACCACAGAGCTTCAAACTATGAGTTTATCGTAAACGGTTTGAAAAAGAAAGCCAAGAAAACAACTTTTAAACGCCTCACCTTCTTGTTGTAGGGCTCGAGGCTTTTGATGACACGAGAGATGCCAAAGTCGTAGTTCCCCTTCGCGCAGTACAGCGTCCTGAAAGAAAAACACACTTTCAGAAAAAGCTTAGAGATGTTAAAGGGACAGTCCCGTTTTTTTTGTTTTTAGCTATATAATACTAAATATCTCTGACAGTGAACACTGTTTACTGTCTCCTTATCTTTATGCTTTTAAGTAAATAATCTACCATGTTCCTCCTTCTTATGTATGTCTCCACATGTTTAACTCTCTGTTGTTGAGGTCTGAGAGAAGCAGATCATTCTGTGTTATTTGCATACACATGCTCCTCCACTCACCCTGACCTGAACACTGGGTTGTGTTTAAATTCATGATGTTCCATGTGCAGAAAAAAAGAGGGAGCAAAGTAAAACAACAGCAGACTATATAAAGCTTCACCCACAACCCCCCCCTCCCTGATTATTTTGGCCCTGGATCAGTTTTTCCAGCAGGATTATTCAACAAGGCAGCAGCATCTGGAACTCACCCGATCACCAGGTTGACGATGCAGAGATGGAAGACCTTCTTTTCAGGGTCATCGTAGGAGATCTGCTCCTCCTCTTTTTCAATCTTTCTCATCAGCTCCTCGGCCTGTGGCGGAGAGAGGAGGACGAGAGTCAACCACAGGAGATAGAAAAAGGAGTGCCATTTACTTAAAGAGAGAAAAAGCACCTCAGTATCACAGATACATCTCAAATGTAAATAGTTGTGAAAGAAGTATTCACTCCCTTAACCATCAATCAGTCTTTATTTGTAAAGCTCACTGTGTGCAGTACCTCTTCATTCTGGCTCGTCATGATGTAGGACACGCACAGGTTGGCCAGGACCACAGCGCTCACATTCAGGATCTACAGCAACAAACACAAACACACACATATAAAATCACATTGTAAACCCTTTTTCTGGTTCTTTATCTCTTAGCGTATTCCTTTATTCTACTCTTTTTTTAAACTGTAAGCATATAAGGCTCACAATGAATGTTTGAACACTGAAAAAGAATCCTTTGGGGGAACTAACCAAGGCTGCATGCAAGTGTCCTAAAATGTATTCTAGACTTGTTAAAACCTTTTAAAGAAAAGTTCTGGTATTTGACTGAGCCCAGTGATTTGACCTCTCTGGGTCACAGTGAGCTTTCTGCTCCACAGCTGCCTCGATTGGTTAGTTAGTTTATTATTGTTCATTTTACTGTTGATGTTGTCCTTCCTTATGTTGCCTTCTGCTGCAAAACATATTTCTCCTTGTAGGACAATGTAGGACAAGGCCTCAGCCAAGTAAATAATACCATACGTTTTAGAAATGTGTAATACATTTTAGATGCCAGAAAAGACAAAAACAGCACTGCAAACAAGCAAAGGGAATTAAAAACAACCAGCACAGCATCGTTCATGTCATGCACGGAGGAGAGAACACTTCAGAGGAATCAACACAGAACGGTTCAGTCTCCTTTTTTTACCGAAGGTTTGCACTTGCAGGGACATTCCTGAATGTTACACTGCTCCACCTGGACAGAAAGGTAAAATTGTTTAGACCTGACCTCGCCCCCTCTCTCCCCGTGGCTCACACAGTGGGCAGTCCTGAAGTACTCACGTTATCGTAGTGTTTCTTGACGATGGGCTCGTAGAAGCCGATGGCCTCCTTGTACTTGTTCTGCATGAAGAGCACGTGGGCGACGTTCAGCTTCCAGGTGTCGTCCTCGTTGCACACCTCCACGGACTTGCGGAAAAGCTTCTCCACCATCTGGAAGTTCTCCCGGTTCCAGTAGATCTTCGCCTGAGCCATGAGGACCACGATGTACCTGGGGAAAATACCACCAGAGTGCCGAGGAACAGCTGGTTAGATCTGTGAAGTTTCCTCTTTTGTGCATTTTTCAAATTTACTAAAACAGAAAAACTAAAGCTGAGAAAACAAACTCTAACTATTAAGAATATAAATAATATGTGTGTGTGTGTGTGTGTGTGTGTGTGTGTGTGTGTGTGTGTGTGTGTGTGTCCTCACTTCTCCTGCATCAGGTCGTAGTCCTGCACAGCCTTTTTCTGCACTTCATCGTCTCGAGCCAGCCGAGCCTCCTGCACCTTACAGGAAACAGACAAAGAGTGCCCTCTAAGATTTTCATTTTCAGTTTTACAGACTTTAGGAACCCCGAGGGGAAATTCTGGTCTACACTCTGTTATTGAGCGACATGTTTCCCACACACACAATGCATGGAGAGATGTCAGAGTGAGGAGGCTGCACATGAAAGAGCACCCGAGCAGTTGGGGGTTCATTGCCTTCCTCAAGGGCAACCCCGCAGTACACAGGAAGTGACCTAACACCTCTCCAGCAACCAGACCAGCATCCAGACTTTTGACTTGAACCTCCAGTTCCCAACCCAAGTCCCCTACATTCTGAGCTGCTGTCGCAACATAACCAGGCGTTTAAATGAAAACCAGGCCATTAAATGTAGAAACAAACATACATACAGAATCAAACACACAAGTTAAGAAGAAACAAAGAAGAGGAAAACTACCTGCTTGGCCAGTTTCCGTAACTGCTCTGTCAGTTTGCCGTTCATCTCATCAAACTTCCTGAAGGCCTGAGACGTAAACAAAGAGGAGATAAAAGAGGGGACACATTTTATGTGTAAATAAAATGTTTAACTGTAGCTCTTATCACACAGCTGCTTGGTGTAGGATAATGATGACGAGGAAATCTTACAATACTCAACAAAACGAGTTGAAATGTAACTAGGATTAGTTTTCTTTACCTCCTCTGGAGCCGTCTGGCAGGTCAACAAGGCATCAAGAAACTCGTACATGTACTGCAAGGGACAAAAAAACAAAACAAATATGGATGCTGCCATCGGAAATGTTCCATGATTAATGAGTACATTTGTGCGGGGTGGTTTGTTACCGGGGAGAGGAACTTGTAGGTGAGATGAGCGTTCTCTGCCAGGACATCAGCCGCTAGGTCAAAGTACTGAGAGAGAGAGAGAGAGAGAGAGAGAGAGAGAGAGAGAGAGAGAGAGAGAGAGAGAGAGAGAGAGAGAGAGAGAGAGAGAGAGACTCCAGCAGTGTTATTAATGCCATTTTAATTAAAGCGCCACACATCCTTCACCACATGACTCCAAATCCTTTTGGAAACATTGGTACTCCCCGTGTGGACTCTCAGTGTTTTACCTTATGCTGGAAAATGCTGACACAGCCCCCCTCCGCCCCCCCCCCCATCAGACACAGAGGGGTGTCATAATCTTGAATGAGAGCATGTTGATAATTCTCTGTCTAATAAAGAAAGCTCCGGGAAGTTGGACTGCACGTTCAAATGAATATTAATCAACAACCCGGGAATAAACAAGCTTTTTCTTTGGATGTTGATGTCGTCACTGTCAGTCACGGGGCTGAGACGGACCACCATGCATGGAGAGAACGTGCAAAGTCCACACAGAGAGGCTCCTGTCAGACGGGGATTCCAACCAGCAACCTTCTCGCTGTGAGGCAACAGACTCGGTTGACCAACGAGCAGCCCTAGCTCAACTGTTATGCTAATCATATTATCATATTATTATAGTTCAGGACCCTCCAGGTTCAGGACAGTCCGTGTCTGTGGACTGCTGTGTTTGTACCTCGTGTTTGCAGTAGAGCAGCAGCAGGTTCCCAAAGGTGACAGGAGGGAAGGAGGGCTGCTGCAGGAGGAAGGCAAGCTTCTCAAACCCCTCAGACGGCTTTGTGTCCATGTTCACCAGAGCCTGGTTGTGGAGGGTAACTGGGTCAAGCTCCTGAAACCGAGACAGAAACACAAATCAGGGTTTTAAATATATATTTTATTTCAATCTTGGCACTGAATTTGTTTTGGTCTATTTTTTTGTTATGAAACATAATTATTTAAAGAGCCCATATTCTGCCCTTTTTGGGGTTTGTATATTTAATCTATGTTCCTACTTTTGTACATTCACAATAGATAAAGTTTGAAAAAAGTGTCTGTTTTCATGAACTGCTCCTCCTGAAGCTCCTCAGTCAGCTACGCTCTGTTGAGCCCACACTGTTAGACCCCACGTGGGCCAAGTCTGCTCTGATTGGTCTGCCAATCCGCTCTGTCGTTATTGGTCAGTTGCTCAGCACGCGTCTCGGAAATTTCAACATGAGCTGCTGGGCTTGCCACAAAGAGCCAATGGGCTTAGATCAGTGATGTCACACTGACAATGACGCCGCACTGACAAATTTTTATCGAGGGGGCCTAGAACCGAGTGTTACGTGCAGCTAATGCTACAGCTAACAGGAGGACGTAGGAGAAGCCGCGTTTCCGCGGACTTTTAATTTTTGCACATAGATGTGCCTAAACATGAACAGGACACTTGGAAAACACACTAAAGAGCAAATAAAACCAGAAAAAGAAGAATATGGGACCTTTAAAGTTGGCATGTATACAATGTATACAAATATGTCACAAATTTAGATTCTAAAGTAATAAAATTAAAGTAAATACTTCTCTTAAAGGCGATGGAAAAACATTGCAACACAGAATAAAAAAACAAGTCAACACTCTCAGGGTGCAGTGAGTATTAAATACCACAAGGGGGCAGTAGTTGTACACTACCCTGACATTTTTTTTCCATGTTAAAATGACCATCCTGACCCATCGGGTGGCAATTACAGACTGGACCAAGGACAGTGCCCCGTCTGCACATTAATTTTAATGAAGCAGATTCAAGATGATAAAACTACCATCATTATGTCCATGTAAGCCTTCACACCTCCGTCTCTAATATTCTATTAATCTCTGTTATCTGCAGGCTGTTGGAGGGGGCAGGTCCAGACAGCGCTCATTCTCTTTACACAAGAAGTATCACACATAGCTGCGGGTGTAGAGAGTCCAGCTGCACACACAGAGACACAAAGACACACAAAGACACACACAGAGACACACACAGAGACACAAAGACACACAGAGACACAAAGACACACACATACAGAGACACACGTTCAGGCACACACGCACAGACCAGAGTGGCAGTGAACGGGTGTTGATGCTTACCTCCTCTGATCTGGGGGGCATATCTGTCAAAGCTTCCTGAGCTCCTTTCACTGCAGGACAACAAAGAAAGCAGCTTGTTTTATTCTTCATCGGTGATGCTGTGTTTTTTTTCTTTTCTTTGCAGGACGAACAAGAACACAGGACTCAAAATGATTTTGAATGAAACCAATAGTTAACTCTCAAAGGTGCTCTGAAGAGTCTAAAGTGTTAGCATACATTCAAACAATGTTTTGTATCCTTGTGGTCTAACAAGTGTGTTTAATGTATTTCCCTCCTAATTAAAATTTGTTTAATTTGTGAATATTTAATTCATGGATTTTAAATTCCCTGTTACCAGTTTGCACTCGTCTCTTCCCATCGCCTGCCTCATAAAAACATTGCTCCACAGTACCAGACATGGTAAAAAAAACCTCTGGATTGATGTTCATTTGATAAAAAGGATTCCTAAATTACCTAGAAGAGGTAGCTCGATCTGTTTTTCATTTAGCCGGGGCTCTTTTATTTACATAATTTTGGGGTATAAACGACAAAAGATGTTTTAAAAATGGAACAATATACTGCATGTTATGTTTTAGGAGCAAACATTGGTAAATCTTTGCAATTCACTGCACTTCAAAATATGTCTAAATTCATGTTGAGTTCTCTAAAAGACAGTTGAAAGTGGAGATGGAGGCAAGAAACGTGTGAGAGAAACAGAAAGAGAGTCATTTAGAGGGACAATTTGGGGACATTTCAGCCTTATGGTTAAGTCCCTTGACCACTTGGGTATCAGGACTCTCCTTTAAATTGCTTTAAAGCTTTACATGTGAGCTCGACTCTGCAGCCTCAGTCTGATCTTGTAAAGGAGTCGGGGAAAGGAGGGAGGAAAACCCCGCTTTTGAAGATAAAAGGCGTAACAAGTTCCTCTCCAGGAGATTTTCATCTCTCCCTCTCTCTCTCTCTCTCTAACTTCATTTAAAAGCTGGAGGAATTCAGCTCTGTGAGAGTGATCTGATTCAGAACAGAATCATTATAACCTGTGGTTGTGTAAGCCGGGAAAATGCACATTAACCTAAGCCATTGATACTGTTGTGATGCTGGGTAAAGTAAAGAAAAAAACAAACATTTTGTAAGTTTGTGGAGGGAATATGTCGCCCAAATCCAATCCAGTGGTATTATTGAGGGGCTATTTTTAGTGCATATCACCCTCTGCTCAGCGCTGATGCTCTGCTACACAGGGGCGTGTCCAGCTTTTTTTGACTGGGGTGGCCCAACTGGGGCACTGACTTATACAGGGGAGGCCTGGGTGTGATGTGCGAACAAACACGCACAAATAAATATGAATTATTTACCCTTTCTAACCTTACCAATAATATCTACTTTATAACACAAGATAACGATTTTTTAATGACAAATAAAGAAGATACTTGTTTCAAAAACACAATTTAAAGTACTTCAAAAAGTATATACAAACTCCTGCACAGTCTAACTTGCAATGTTTTGGTCCCATATGCCAGTTAGTTTAAGACAGTGAGCATTACTTTCCCATGCACCCGTCTTGTGAAATAGATGTGGAAAGGTTTTATTAACAATTTAAAGTACAAACAAAAGAAAACAGGCTACATTGATAAGTAAAGAAAGCTACTAGCAGCCTTATGGAAGAATAAAAGACCTAATGAATGGTTTTGAGAGTGCAAATAGCCAATCACAGTTTGGGATTTTTCAGGTGGCACATGGGTTGGCCAATCATATTTCGAGGGTGGCTATGAAGGCTATGAGACACTGAGTGAACTTCTCACCGTTCTTTAGCTGGTACTCAATGGCAGCTTTGAGGTTGAAGGCTTCGATCAGGGCGGTTTGATGAAGTACCAGAGTGTTCCCCACGCTGTGGACGTCGATGCCCTCAGTCGTCATCCCCACGCTCAGCTCTAGAAGGTGAGAAACACACGTAGGTTAAAAAAAAAAATGTTGTAAGGTCAATAAATAATTAAACACCAAAGAATCCCACTGATAGAGAGATGAAGGTTTGTCGACAGTTGAAATAAATTCAGCAGAACAAACACAGATGTGATGACTGTGGTTCACTAAGGTGTGCTTTTACCTGGATGCTCCCTGATGCCTCGTTCTATGATCTCTCCGATGTATTTCAAGGCCTGAGCGTAATTCTTCAGGTTGTAGTAACACAAGGCGATGTTGTACGACAACGCTGACAGAGAAAACAGAGAAAACAAAAACAAAACAAGCAGTCATGATCCAACACCTTACTGCATTTTAAACTTGGTACCATGTTTTCATAGTTTGACATTCTTCATGCAAAACTATGTTTAATCGGATTTACCTGCAAAAATGTGTAAAGAATAATGACAGATGTTTTCAGTTTTGCACAACAAAAATGAGCTAAATGACTTTTAAATGCTGTAACAGTAAAAGTAAACCAGTGCATAAGAAAACCATAAAAGAACCAGTGTCATTGAAGTGTGTGTCATGTGTTTACCTGGTACATATCCCAGCATTTGCATGGCTGACGTGAACTTCTTGCAGGCCTCTTCATGCTTGCCGTCCTGGTAGAGCAAACAGCCCATATTGTGGATGTAGTCGGGGTCCTCCTGAGGGAGCTGCTCCAGTAGTGACTGTACACAAACAACAGATAACTATGATCCAAACTGCCACCATACTGAATAGAAATGGCATTATTATTTGTGTTTATTAAAAAGAAAATGTGAGGGAGGTCGTCACCTTGGCAGCAGAGTAATCTTCCTCACAGTATTTGATACATGCTTGCAGCTTGATCATCTGTGTGAGCCATAGAGAGAGAGAGAGAGAGAGAGAGAGAGAGAGAGAGAGAGAGTACAATCTTTTATGAGATAAAACGAAAACTGTCGTATCCCTTACTTGTTTGAAATATGTAAAAAAATAAATAAATACATATGTCCCAAGTATTAAAATATCAGACATTTTCTTTGATTTCCAAATGTCTATGAAGTGACAGACATTTCTATAGTATTTGTTTTAATCTTTTTAAATAAATACACTTGAAAAGTATTATTTCTTTAACCTTCTGTTAAATGAAATGTGTTCCTTGTTGCTGAGCTATTCAGAATTTGTTGTGCATTTATGGCCCATATGCATATGTTAGAGAACGTGTGTTGAACAACAGCTCCCAGTGATTGAAAATGTGAAACAGATGGAGGGAACAGAGTGAATAAAATCAATGTATATAAGTGTGAGTTGTTTTTAAATTGCCAATTGGTAGCAGTTGCAGAACACCTGGACTCAAATGCTTTATTTTCTCCATAAAACAAAGGGAAAAGTTTGCATTCTGATGATGCACCATGTGTTTAAGTTTGCGCTGCACCTTGGATTGGCTGTTGGGGTTATCCAGCACGAAGGAGGCTTTGGTGGCTTCAGGATATGCACCGGCTTTGTACAGTGACTGAGCAAAGTACACCTTATACTCCTCCACCTCCGGGTGCAGCTGGGTGAGCTGCTCGTAACACTCTGCAGAGTTGATGAAATCCTGGATGTGATAGTAGCAGAAGCCCAGCAGAGATAACGCTGCCCTGGACTGGGACACAGTTTTAAGAAAGAGACGGTTACATTTAGGACACTAGACATGTTTGTAAAACAGAGACCTGATGTACACAAGAGAAGAGGAAAGTAAAATCTCCCCCTTTTGAAAAGTAACAAGGACATCTAAACTGAAATGATCAATAATAATATATTAACATTAAATGTCGTATGTAGTGAACTTTTCATTTGAAACAAATCTTAAAATGCGACAGAATTAAGAAAAAGTTATCATAAAGTAGTATAAAGACGAGCAGGGAGAAGAAGATGAAGAAGGATGAGTATTAAAAACAACAAATAGGGGCAAGCAGTGATTAAGGGGCATGAACTGCCCCAGCTCACCGTGCCCTTTGCCCGCCTCAGCACCATGTGGGGCAGAGCTTTCAGCTGCTCTGCTCCCCAGCTCTGGAACTCGCTGCCACCGGACATTCGCAATATTGACTCTCTCCCCATCTTCAAATCCAGACTCAAAACCCATCTGTTCAAGATCGCCTACTCACTAACATTTGAGTTGCAATTACACTGTCCTACATTTCATTTCTTTTATCGTATGCTGATTTTATCCACTGTTGTTTTTTTAAATGTTGATTGTTGTACAGTGTCCTTGTGTATCTTATTTTTTTGGGGGGCTTTTTTGCCTTTAATGTAGAGATAGGACAGTGAATAGAATTGGAAATCAGGGAGAGAGAGAGAGAGGGGGGTGTGACATGTGGGAAGGGAGCCACAGGCTGGATTCAAACCTGAGGCGCGCACTAACCACTGCGCCACCAGCGCCCCCGTCCTTGTGTGTCTTGAAAGGCGCTTATTAAAAAAATGCTAAATGTAAGTTTTAAATCAATGCTTTCATAACATTCTTATGTCGCAGGATAATTTAACTCTCTGCCTAACACTTCTGATCCAATGATAGATGTCGTTTCTGTTTGTTCTCTGTGGGAAACTTTTACTTTGCTGTCTTCACCTGAGCTCTCTTGAAATGGAGATCTTGAACCTCAACGAGAATATTTTCATGGTAAAATAAAGCTGAAATTAAAAAATGATGATATTAAACCACACTTACCTTTGTGTGTTTCTGAAGCTGGCCGTTTAGGATGTGAATCGCTTCCACATACTGTCCATCTTTAATCTAAAATGACATGTTATAATTAATTTATGTTTGTTAAATGTGACATTACACAGTTTGAAACACTTTATAAACAAACTGAAGCTGTATATGATCTTATAATGTGTTAAACTGTGTTTGTTTACTGTCCAAATATCTACCGGTGTGACGTCAGACTGATAACTTTGAGACTAGAGACGCGGAGCCTCAAATTAACAAAAGTTATAATAATGTAATAATTGGGGAGTATAGTTTCATGCCGAATTTACCACAAGACCCTTGTTAGTGCTGATGTGTTATAAAAGTCATGTTTGTGTTTATTATCCAGCAGAAAACACAAAATTTAACTGTTTTTTCAGCAGTTTCAGCCAGCGCTCACGGATCTAGTGGTGCTAGCTTCTCCAGCTAACCTAACCTCCATCAAAACAAACGTATTCTTACCAGTTTGTAGATTGTAGCGGTGTATTCTCCGTCTTTTATAGCTGTCATGGTTTCAAAACGAGTGATTCTGACGGTAAAGAAAAACACTCGAGATGCTGTGTGCTTTACTAACTCATAAATAGAGCATCCAGCTAGCTTCTGTTTGGTGCACGGACGGAGCGCATAGGAGCTGTTACTTAGCAACAGAGCACACCGGAAATGAATGATTTGACAGACGTTCGAAAGGGCCAATCAACAGAGAGAATGCGTCTAAGCCGCCCAACCTTCCTTTTTATGTATTTTTAACAGAGCCAGAATATTGTTTTCTGTTTCTTCTTTCTTGTTTTAGTCTAAATATATAATGATACAGGATAAATAGTTATATTCACAATCAATTTCAATTCACTTTATTGGCATGAATGTGCCAATAAAGCACACTGATAATATTGCCAAAGCATCAAACAATAATACACAAACTCTAACAATAATAGTAAGTATCATTAATATAGTATGCATAATAATAGTTATAATTAATGATGGTGTGAAAATATTGTTATTATGAACAGAATATGAAATAACACATTTAAAATAGTATAAAACAAGAGAAATAAACCTTGAAGAGGTTTTTACACAACACAAGTAGTCTGGTTAAATTCACCAGTGAGCTCATGCTCGTAGGATCCAAGATTTGATCTCATCCAAGGGGCATATAAAAAAAAAGAACACACACACACACGCACGCACGCACGTATGCACGCACGCACGCACACACACACACACACACACACACACACACACACACACACACACACATTATCACATATACACAGTAGTCAAAACAGATGAAACCAACAAGGTGCTGGAGCTTCGCCTCAAACCAAAACCACAGTGTGCTGACCACCGGGCCTCCATAATGAGGGGAAGAGGTTAGAATTTGAGTGTGTATGCGTGAATGTGTCATGTCTATAAGTGTGTGTTGCAAAGTGAGAGTGTGTGTGTATATATGCATGTGGATGCATGCTTGTGTGCAGCAAGGGTGTGTGTCTTTTCTCTCTCTCTCTCTCTCTCTTCTCTTTCATGCCTTCCACTGTCTTGTGTTAAAAGCTTTGTGAAAGAGGAGCTACAAAACAACAGGTACGTGCAGAGTGCTTGTTTTTATTAACATATTTTTACTAGAAATTTCACAGCATGCTTTTATATACACAATTTTACTTTAACTTTGTTTTGCAGCGATTTTCTGTTTTCAAAAGTGCTTTATTTACGTCCTAACCAAAACGTAGTTCGTTATGCTATAAATCTCTTATTAGTGAGGAATATATTGTCGTCTGTTGCTGCTTTAGAGAAAAGTATGTCAGGATCCATATTGCATGAACTCATGGGCAATACAACTGTTCATGCTTGAGATGAAACTGAATGGGACTCTTTATTAATGTTGTGCATGAATTTGAATAAGGCATCTGCCTTTTCAATATTATATGACTCTGGGAAATCTCTTCCATGTGCCTTCTCTTTACTGCAGAGCCAAACTTATTTCATGGTGTTCACACTGAGCGGGTACCAGATGATGACATTTTATGTTGTTCAACATGATGCAGATTTATTAGAGAAATCTGCAGAGGAGACAGACACTTGCAAATTAAAATGTGGTTCCTTTTTTTGTTTTTTAAAGGTTTATTTTGGGCCTTTTTTGTGTATTTATTTAGCGATAGGACAGAGGATAGAATCAGCAATCAGGGCGAGAGAAAGTGGGGAATGGCATGTAGGAAAGGAGCCACAGGTCAGATTAGAACCTGGAGGACTATCGTATCAGCACATGGGGAACGTGCACCCTACACTAGGCTACCGACGCCCTGTTTTTCCCCTGCAGCAACAGAAGTTGTTCACATGCTTCTGTTACTTCTTTTATCATTTCCTTACTGTTGCTCTATGGAAAGCACTCTGACATTTTTTTTTTGAAACGTGCTGAAAATGTGTTACGATCAAAACTCAACAAGATCTGGGAAAAAGTTTATTTGAATGACCAAAAACCCTTCAGGTGTTTTCAGCATATCGAGTCGACTCTGTGTTGAAGAACGAGGCTGGCACTATTCTTTTATTTCACTTTTACACATTCAAGAAAAACAACTTTTTCTAACTTCTTGTGAGAGCCTCTCAGCTCAAGGTCCACTGATTCCTACTTTAGATGTTAAACTTGAAGAGTTTTCAGGGAATGGCATGCAGGAATCTACATTCAGTGCTGCAATGATTATTTTCAATGGGGATGGTGTACATAGGTTGCATTCAAAAGTAATCCATCGTGTGTGTGTTTGTGGTAGGAACATGTTACCCGGTGCAGCAGTGTGGCTTGTTGTGATTTTGGAAAACATTGGCACTTGCAGAGGGGCAGAACATAAATCAGGCTCTGCAACCATTTCTCCAGAAAACAGACATTTTCGCTCCGTTTAGCCAAACCCCGCTGACATGAAATCAAAATACTTTTCTAATGCCAACGCCAAGGTTTAAAAAGTCCTCGGTTTTTATTCTTTTTAATGTTATGGTATCAGGAAGAGATGTGGTTAGGGCTAAAAATCTGTGGTTGGTGCTTTTACGGTTTGGCTATAAGAACTTGATTATGCTGAAGAAAGATTGGGATTACAGTTTCTTATGCAGGCAGTCAATATTTGGGGTTTGCGATGGAGCCAGAATATATCCAGCAGACTTCCTCTTTCTCCTGCTGCTCTTTGTTGACAGTCCAACTGGCAGCTTTCAAAATGGAGTTTTATGGAGTCACAGTCAGTTCCTGTATTACCAATTAATTGTTCTAGTCTCTGTAATAGGACGTGATGGTCAATCATATCAAATGAGGCACTAAGATCTATGTTTGCAAGCTTTGCCACTTTTTGCATTCATGCACATTTTTGCAAACAAATTAATCCTACAGATGGACGTCGGAGAAATGTCTCCATTCTTCAGAAGAGGTTTTCAATTGAAATTTTGATTCCTTTTTTTATGTTTTTGCAATACTGAAAGTGATCGCACTGTTGCCTCACAGCAAGAAGGTTCCTGGTTCAAAACCCAATCAGGCAGGAGCCTTTCTGTGCAGAGGTTGCATGTTCTCCCCATGCATTGATGGGTTCCCTCCAGGTACTCCGTCTTCCTCCCACAGTCCTAAAATCTTCTCGTTTGGTTAATTATTGCCTGAAGGTGTGAGTGTGAATGTTTGTCTCTACAGTTTATGTCAGCCCTGTGATTGACTGTCCAGTCCAGGGTGTATCCCAAGTCTCGCCCAGTGAGAGCTGGGATCAGCTCCAGCCACCGGCGACTTGAATGGAATAAGCTGTGTGTAATAACGGAAGGATGAATGAAGCTAATCACAACAACTTTTTTTTTAAGAAGCAAAAGTTGACAAAAAAAATGCTGTTTGAAACATAAAAAATACATTTTGGTTGGAAAGTCACTCTTCTGTGAGATCTAAAATCTTAAATTTCAAAGTTTTGCATACATGCTAACTAACTTCATCTTCATCTTTTAAATATATGAGATTTACTCAAACACTCACGTCAAAGATGATGTGTTGTGTAGTCTACTGCAGCTTCTGTGTGTTATTATAGTGTGTGTGCGTCTCTGGAACAAATATGAAGGAGAGGAGAGCTGCAGAGACATGCCGTGTACAGTGTTCCAAGTCTGTCTCTGTCAGTTCTTCAGGTGTATCCGCTCTCTTGACTGCTGCTCAGACTCATTCCTTAATGTGAAGCCGACTGCAGGAGCTGAGAGTTTAGCCTCCGGGCATCTTCCCCTGTTCCACCCTCTGACACGCCTGGAAGACTTAGAGGTTTAACTCTGTAAAGTTAGATTTCCTTTTCTCTCTGCTTTATTAGGAGCGATAGCCACAGCAGCAGCAAAGCCATACGAGGTTTAACACCGACCCGAGGAACAGTTTAATCCCCGCAGCATGCAGACTCAGACTGTACAGAACAATAGACTGAAGTAAAGACATGGCACACAGAGCTCAGAGGAGAGCATGCACTTCATGACGTCACCGCTTCTGAAGCTAAAAAGGAAGCTTGCATACTAATTCACTGCAAACACACAATCCTGGTGCTGATTTGTTTGACTTGATAAAGATTGTGATTCAGATTTAGACGACTTTATTAATCCCAAAAATCCAAAACAATAAACTTTAAAAATGCTAAAATACTCCATTTGCAATGCACAGAGTTCATTAGATTCACTGTTAACCAAAACAATGTCAAACAGAAACTGAGAAGTCTTACCCCGTCCATGCTTCCCCCTCCCAGGTGCTGGTCTGATCATGGCCTCCAAGCTGAGCGTGCTGCTGCTGTTACTGGCTGTTGCCACAGTAACCGTGCTGGCCCAAAGGCGACGCCCAACAACATCTACGTCCACATCGACGTCAACAAACACGGACGAGTGGAACTACAGGGATGGCTGTGAGCACCCACATTACTCTTTGTTTCTCTGGGGTCAAAGGTCAAGTTCAGGGCTCATCATGGTGATGTCAAAGCTGGAGGTGAAAGATCACACCGCTGCCCCCGAGCGGAACCTGTATGAATACAGATGTGTTTTTAGTTTCAAGCTGAAGGATGCTGAACGCTTTGATGCATCAATACTTTTCAACACTGACATCTACCATGTATCATAGCGTATTGTACCATATCATGTTGTATTGTGCTGTTTCATATCAATCTTATCAATATTACATTATTCCAACATACTGTACAGTACCTTACTGTAATGTATAGTATTGTACTGTAAGTTGGAAATCATATTGGACCATAATGTACCCTATCATATCGAATCATACCAATCATCGTTTCATACCAAGGCAGTTTTACCAAATCCTCTTGTAATGTATTGTATGTTATCATATCGTATCGTAGCATAATTTAGCTTATTTCATCATATTGTATTATATTACATTGTATCATATCGTATCATTTTGTGTCGAATCACCTCCTTGCTTTAGTGGCTCTGAATAAGAAGCCAAATTCCTTGATTTCTACGTGTGAAAATCAAGGAATTTATCAATATAAGTCATTGAGAACCTCACCACATAATTTAAATCTAAATTAATTCAGTTGTCCTAAATAGATTCAGACTTTTTTAGGGTCTCCATTTTTCATTTCAGTCTGTTGCAAGATCACTCATCCCCTGTGTGTATTCTTACTGACTTATTCTTTTATGCAATT